TCTGATAGAAGATACACACGTGCCGTTATCTTCATGCCTACTTCACATGTACTGAACTTTTTTCCTTTGTGTCAGTCAGCCTGTCTCCCTCCTTCTCCTTCATGACTAAGTAGGTCCTCCAGGCTCCTCCAGGAGGCGGCTACCTACCCTGAAGTCCTGGCTCCGTCTGCCCAGAATCAGGCTAAGTGCCTCTGACAGCCCGACGCACAGTTATTAACTGTGATCCCCATCACTGGACCCGGGCAGCTCAGCGCCAAGGGGAGGCTCCAGCAGAGATCTCTGCTCTAAACACAAAGACTGCTTTCACCTCTGCATTCTTGGCTGCATGCTTTCCTGACCTTGATGCATTCACTAATACATATTTACATGATTCCATAACTAAGGTATGCAGGTATTTAACAGTGTTGCAGGGAAGCTGCTTGGACACCATTTCCTGTCACACTAGAGAAGAATGTGATGCCTTTATGAGGAAGGGCTGTGAAGGTGTTGTTCTGCAGAGCACCGCTGCATTCCTGCCTCATCGGTTTCTGCTGACCTGATACTTTCATCCTTATAGGTGGTCCTGTCCTGGATCTCAACACGCCCTTCTCCTCTTCGGTGACCAGAGGGCCATCAGGCAACAACCCGGCATGTGTCACTGGAGGGCAAAATTGGGAGAGAAATGAATAAATGCTTGTGAGGATTGGAGGAGGACAGACAAGGAGAAAGAGTAAAATCCATAATGACAGCTGACTATGTTTAGCCCCCAGAAAGGCACTGGGATAAACAGCAACTGGTCCCAGCTAACAGGAGGGCTTCAAGTCGCCAAAGTAAAAATCCCAAAGCCACTTTTTCCTGCCCACATCAGCCATAATGACAGCACCGCCATTCAATTGTTGAATAGTTGAGGCCGTTCCCTTTGAGGTGCCTGGCTTTAATATAGAAACATGGCATAAACAGTGGAGCAATGGACGTCCCCAGCAGCGTTCAAAGCTGTGGCGGGACAGCGATACGGCTGACATGCATTATTCCCTACAAAAGCTGCCCTTTGTTTGTTTTAACCCACAAATTGTAGGTTTTGTCCATCAAAGTTTCCTTTTATAGGCAGAAACTCCGGTCCCTTTTTACACCCCCCCACCCCCACCCCACCCCACCCCCACCCCCCACCCACCCTATTGTCCTCCCTGGACATGGCTTTCTGGAGCTGATACCTACAAACACATCAGGAAACAGCACGTTCTGTGGAGCTGAGACATGTCCTGGTGGTCCAACGCGGAGATTCAGAAACCTCGTTTGTCAGAGTTCTGTTGCTCTTTCAAAGATTTTAGTGTTTTGTTAAAATAATGAATGCATAAAAATGTGATGGAGCATTTTAAACTGCATCCTGGGTTTTGCAGATATTAGCCAAACATGAGTAAAAATGACAAAGCGTCTCGGTCGTTAGACAGAAGTGAAAGGGACTTCCTGTCTTGGACCTTGATCAGGAAGACAACTCGTCTCCTAACAGGGACGTCCCAGAGCATCACACCAGGACTTTATCCGGTCCTGAGGACTGTGGTGGCTGTCGTTTGGGCTCGCTGTGCAAAAAGAGCCAACAGAGGTGAACAGCTGATCTGTCAGGGCTGGGCAGAAAAATGACGAGGTCGTAGGTTTTTTTGTTTTAGTTTTTTTGTCGTTTCTAACAAAAATAAATGGCCAATGATCTGGCACCCTAACTGTTAAAGCTAATGATTCCTTTGAACTAAACTGTTTAGCACTTTTTGGTTTTTCACACTTCAGCTCACCAGGGTTATGGAAGTCAGCAGGCTGGTTCTAATTCCCAGGATGTCATTGGCCTAAAGGGGAAGCATCTCTGTTCTGAAGAGTCAAAGACAATAAGATGATAAATAAAACAGGAAGAAGAATTTATTATTTTAGCCCTCGCATACTTACTGGTTTATGGTCTACACTAAACATGTGTGTTTGTTGTATTTGAAGAACAAAAGCAAAAAGATCATCATGGACTCCTGGAAACAGTGGAACTTGATTTGTTTATCTCAGCTGTCTGTGGAGGACTCTGAAGACGTGTGGATATTCGTGGTGTTGGTGTCAGGTTTCCTGCTCATTGGCCTTGGAGGCTACCTGGCTTACCGGAAAATTAACGAGCTGTCGAGGAATATTGGCCTGATCCCGGAGCTCAGAGATGGTTTGCACCGCGCTGCAAATTCACAGACTCACATAATTGTCAAGATGAATCGTAAGCTTGGAACTTTGGCCGAGATTCATTCTTTGGCACAAAAGATGGATGCCATCAAGGAGAGAGTGGACGAATCAGCACGGATTGGGATAGATTCATGTCCATTACTGGGATTTTGAGAGGTTGAGGACCAACAAACTGTAAGACAGAGAGGAAATCATCTCTGTCTGGCCCCAAAACAATTTCTAATCGGAATCTGGCGTCCTTGAGCCTGCAAGGCTCCAACGAAAACTGCCCCCTCAGAAGATATGTGGAATGTGCCGTCGCTATGGCAACTCAACTCTGTCTCCTTTCCCAGCCTGGGCGGGACTGCAGGAAGGCCGCTGAAACGTCCAGGGTCACTGCAACCCTCCAACCCTCAATGCTCCTCCCCCTGTCCACACTGAGGTGACATGCGCTGCTTATCGTGGCTGCAGGAACTGAAGTGGGGATAGTCCCAACCCACCACCCCACCTAGTGGACACTTATGTTGTGTGTTGTCTGAAGTCTGTTGCATATCTGTCTGAGGTGTCCTTTTTTTTTTTTTTTTTTTTTTTTTGCAGAGCAAAGCTGTCCTCCTGGTGGGAGGGTAACTCTGAAGTGTCTTTTTTTCCCTCCACCTGAACCAATCCTCATATAACCCTCTTATCTCTATTATGGTAGCATGACTCAAAGTTGCGAATGACCACAGTCACCAATTCTTGTCATGTGTCTTGTCCATGTATGTCTGATCTCTGAATTGCGTGTACTGAAACTCTAATTTCTCTCTGGGATTAATAAAGTATTGATTTGAATGATTGATTGAACAGTCTTATTTTGGTAGCTTCTTCACATTCTGACCATCTCTCTGGTTCTTATAAAAGATGTTTTAATGTGTGTGACTTGGGTTGTTGACAATAACATTGTGTAAACAGCATCTGAGCTCCATGACTGACACAGTGCTCACCAAACATCCACCTTCACCCCGAGCCTCGGCGCTTCAGCCTCCAAGTTACGCTGTGATCACAGCCGAGGTGTTACAGACGCTCCCATCGAGCCGCAAAAACGTCTCGTTACTTTTTAAATGTTGGCAGAAAACTCGTCGGCTTTTTGAGAAACGCCTCGTCTCAGAGGTCAGGCACCATTAACCAAATACAGAGCAGTCCGAGCAGGTCCAAACACCCCACGGCGCCAGCACACACACACAGATTTACACAAATACATTAAACACACACACTCCATTAGTCTGCCTCAGCTGTGCCTCTTAACCCTGCAGCTACCCTTAGGACCTTATATCCGGGGTCAAGTACGATCCTGCGTTCGTTATGGTGGACTTCTGGCACGTGCAGCACACACACACACTTACACCTCTTGGAGAGAGAGAAGTGATTTGGTGATGAATGTGATTGGAGAGGCAATGCTGCCCTCTTGTGCTCCACCATTTGCACTTATTGGAGATGTTTGTGGGTGGCTGGTAAATCCCCAACATACCTCAGTCAGACCGGCTCAGAGAACCACAGCTCCAACTGGGAACTCGTCTCACGTCGACACTGAGAGATCCTTCAGTCAAACAGGGAAAACCAAATAAGACTCTTTTTGTCCAGGAGAGGTGGCTTTTGTTGAGTTGTTTCCACAGCAACAATTAGCAGGTTTTGCAGATGAGCGTTTCTGGTGCGAGAGGTTACTTCCAGCAGAGTTGGGATACGTCTGAGTCCTATCAGCTGGACCACTGAGAGCCAGAGCTTCCCCTCTCATCTCCTTCTGTAGGAGACTCCCTTTACCACAGCCCTGCTATCTTGGAGGAATTTTTAAACATAGACCCCCCACCCCCTCCACTTATAATACACGCACCCATTCATAAGCTGTGGGAGGTTAATACCAACATTCAGTCTGAGAAAACCCCAGTGGTAGGCAGATGTGCACGTGTCGTTTCACCGCACCGTAAACTAACCACAGAGATAATTTCTGTGGACATCCCCCTGCCCCACCCGAGCAGACAGGCTCCCCACGGCGCCTTCATCCAGAGGTGTGGGTGTGCATGTCAACGGGTTAGCGAAGGGGCGCTCACATGGCAGCCGTTACTGTAAGGAAAGCCACAGCGGAGTCACGGGGTCACATGGACCACACACAGAGGAGAGACGCGGTTCAGGAACCAGAACGAACGATCAGCAACCTGACTTTTTATTATCAGGGATTTCCACAGGAGGAGGGGGTTGTTCTTCATTGTGATTGGTGAGGTTAAAGGTCATGTGACTGAAGCCCTCACTGCAGAGGATGGTGCATAGGTGCTCCAGCTGTCAGAGCCAGCAGGAAGATTTTATTTTGAAGGTCTACTTTTATTCCAAATTTATGGTATGTTTCCAACGTTGACACGAACCAAGGATTCTCCAGGAGCTGTTCTGTTTGTTGTTTAGGACTTTCAGTGTCTTCATCCTGTAGTCTCTGGTGTCCAGAGGAGCTCCTGGTCAATCCAAGTAACCCAAACCTTCACAACTCCACCACCATGCTGACAAGCACATCTAGTTAGTGTCGTTTTATTTAAACACACATTTTGTCTTGTAACTTGGTTCTTTTAAAGACGTTTTCTCCAATCATTTTTTCCACGGATCAGTTCATCACCGTCATGAACTCTAAGGAGCTTGCCAAGACCTGAGATGGAGCTCTCTGGTTTGTGACCTCAGAGTGAACATCTACCCCTGGGTAGAGACGCACTGAGGTTTTTCCTCCATGGCCCAGTGACGACACACACACGTTGCTCCAGAGAACCAAACACAACAGTTGCTCCTACTTACCGATAATCAGGTAATAATTGTGGCTGATTAATGACTCTAGCTCACGGTTTATTGGTGATCAGGTGAAACAAATTGGTTAGGCCTTAGGTCTGTCTCGCTGCAGAATAATCACACAACATCCTGCGTTTAGGATTGTCCAACTGTAAAGCCGCCATTGACTTTACTGTGGCTCTATCTCGTGGTAGATGTTGGTATGACAGCTCACCAAATTTGTAGAAATCTGTCAGTAAAAAGGCCAGGATGACTCGTGCTCTCAAAGGTAGGAGGCAGTGTTGCAGTCAAAAGGAAATCTAAAACAGAAACCAGTCAGTTGCTTCCAGGGAGGGCACTGGCACTTGGTCTGAAGTCCCTTCGAGTCTCGAGCGAGCGTAAGAGCAGCAAAGAAACGTGACTTCCAAGTCGTGTCAGAGGGGGAGCGAAGCGTTTTACCTCAGAAATCAAGAAAAAGCTGTGTTCACAGTTGAAGAGATCAACTCTTAACTTGGTGAACCGGGAGGCAGACGGAGTCAAACTAAGACAGACAACATAAATAAGGAAAACGAAACCCGTCTTCTTTCTTATTTACAAAATGTAGATGAACTTAATATACCAGATGACTCAACAAGTGCTGCTTTCAATTTATAAAACTGATTACCGGCTTTAAAAAAGGTCCTAATGTTTCAGCTGTAGTTGTGACATATTAGCAGAGGCTCCTCCTCCTCCCGCCGCTGCGGGGGCGGCCCCTGTAGACGAGCACCAGCATCAGACGGATTTTCAAATCAACCAGTGTTACAGTAAACCGTGTGGGACTAAAACGGGACAAGTTCTCAGGTCTGGAATCCTGAAAATAAAAAAATCTGCAGCTGCTTTTCACGTGATGTTTAAAAACTGCAGCCCGACTGGAGGTTACCGTCCTGAGAACAGTCCGGAAATAAATAAACCCTGTGTGTGTGTGTGTGTGTGTGTGTGTGTGTGTGTGTGTGTGTGTGTGTGTGTGTGTGTGTGTGTGTGTGTGTGTGTGTGTAAAAAAGAAAGTCAATCCAGGGGCTCCAGTGGTGAGTTTAGTATCCTTGTAGCCCATTATAAACTTTCTGTACAGATCCCTGCTTCAGGAGGCCCCGGATACCTGCAAGAACAGACACAGAGGTTCAGCGTCGACCACACAACCCTGTTGGGTATCAGTAGATGTGACACACAGCAACGCTGGCTCCTCCTCACCATCTTTTTGCTGATCATCAAGTTGTGTCTGAGGAAACTCTACGTCAAAGGTGATGATGAGGGAACCTCGGATGTTGATGTTGTCAAAGTTTGGTAGACCCTCTCCTTTCTTCCACATTCGAGCACCAGGCTTAGTGATTTTGTCTCTTACTATATGCACCTGAGAGGAGCAAAGTCCATTTAAACAAACGGTTCAGGTCTGCTGAGGCGGGTCTAGCTGGCGATGGCCTTTGTTCGTTTATCGATTCCAGTAGTAAACTAATGAATCCTTTCAGAGCTTTGTAAATATACCGAACCTTGTGTCCGTCCAAATGAACGATGTCCATCTCAAAGCCAACCAGCGCCTCCACCAGAGAAATGGTGACATTGGTGAACAGGTCATCTCCTCTGCGTTCAAACACGGGATGTCTGGAAGTTACAGACACAATCTGATTACAAGAGGAGATCAACTCTTAAGATGGGAACAATCATCTGGACAGGAAGAACACTCGTCCATACTTCAACACTTTGATGCGGAATCGTAGGTCTCCAGGCTCACCATCAATGTGAGGTTCACCTGAGATCACAAGGCAAACATGAGGAACAGGTGAGGAAAACCAAACCGAAGCCTGCAGACTGAGCTTTGGAAAGACTACCTTCTCCAATGAAGGGATACTCCATCTCATCTCTCACTCCCTGCTCAATCTCTACCTCCAAGGTTCGCTCCTCGTTTACTAACCTGAGAAAACATCACACAGGTCAGAGATCAGCCTCCTCCAAGCCTTACCTCAGGATGCTTCTGAGGGAAAACCTTTCCCTTTGTGCTTTATTCAGACACTAGATCCATCCTTTATAGTTGTGTATGTTTTTCTACTGAATAGGGATCAAAACATGGATGGTAAACATCTGGACTGAGACTCACTTTACGTTGGGACACTCGTCGCACACGGTCTCCTGAGTCATCTGGAAGCGTCCCGGTCCCAGCTGTGTGGTCTTCATCTCCTGTCTGCAGTTACACTTTCTTTTACCAGGAGCTTCTTTGGCTACAGGCTTGTTACGCACAACCTGCACAACAAAGCAGTTCAGCAAATATTCAGAAAACAAGACACAAAACTAGAAGGCTCTGAAGTTTAAAACAACAAGTCAATTAGGAGTACCTCCACAAAGTTCCCCGAGTACACCTCCTCAAGCGTGACCTCCAGATCAAGTATTATGTCATTTCCTCTGGGGATGTTCTTGTCCTGTTGCTGCCGGTTGCCTCCGAACATGAAGCCAAAGTCTCCAAAGAAGCTTCGCATGGAGAGGAGCAATACCAGTGAGTAAATACAGAGGACAGGTAGTCCACACAACAGCTACCATCTGTGGTGACTGTGTTCCACTACGCTTCTGTGTTTGGAGGAAAACTATCCTAAACACAGTTTTGTGACCTTTTGGCTCTTTTGTAGATTTGTAATTCAACAAATTTGTGTAGAATTTGGTCTGTTCTGCTCAAATAATGAAAGTTAACTTTCCAAAAGCCTTGTCCTAATATCAACAATGGTGTTTAGAGTCAGGAAATCTGCATATTGAGGGGAAAGTGTACATTTAAAAAGTACTAAGATGTTTCAAGTAGTTTATTTTTCTTGGAAAAGGAAACATTTGTAGATGAGTTCTGATGCAGCAAATAAGATACACCCAACTGTGTGCAAGATCGGTTTCTGCTGCTAGAGAACACACATCCTTGGGATTTGCAGACATTAAAATATTTAATCCTTTTTTTTAAATCCAGTATGTTGTGTCATGTGGATTGTAGCCTATACTGCCACCTACTGAACAAATACACTAGCATCCTCACCAGACAGGGCTTCCTTCAAATATAAACCATGCACAGGTACACATGTTCCACCAGTCAGTAAATGCACTGGACAAGAGCCCTGGTGGGCCCAGAGTGGGCCCCTACCACAAAAACTGGAGCTTAAAGAGCAAGTCACCCCCAAACAAACTTTTTTTTGCTGATAAACTAAATAAACGAGTGTCTAATCGTGCTGCAGACACGTGTCGTCAATAATTTGACACTTCAGTGCATCTTAGTTAAAATTTAAATATTCTGTCTAAAACTGTCAGTGTTGTGCCGTTGTCAGGTAAAAACTCTGCACTGTATTTTAATTTAAATCTGCCATCGCTATTGGCTAAGAGGTATGCTATGATGTAAACTGGTACATTATGATGTCACAATGCTGTCGTGAGCCTGTGTGTGTGTGTATTTGTTAGCGGCTCCGCCCTCTCGGTCTGCTAGGCAACAGCATGTGTTGCATTTTTCAAACAGGAAGTGGGAGTTGAGTAAGAATCTGGTAGGGGGTGACTTGCTCTTTAAGGACAATATTGGGCCAAGACGCAAATGTCCCGTTTTTAGCTAAATCTAGTAATAAAGCTACATATCAGTGGTTTTTCTTTGTCTGCTGATGTTCTGTTGCATTGTTTGTGGAAACAAAAGATGATCATTTCAAATCTGCAACAAAAAAAATGCATAGCATTTATAAATACCCTCCACAAACCCTACCACACCCAGATTGATCTGAGTATTCACATTAGTATTTGGTAAACGTATGCCTAAGGGCGGTGCGCGGGTGTGAGGGCCTAAAGCGTAACATGCACCCGGGCCCAGCTTGACCATGCTATGGCACTGGGCCATACCTTGGTCTACCCATACTGTAGTTTTCATCAACACAAGGGATCAGGCTCTCCAACCCTGGTGCTTCCTGTCCAAAATTTGATTTGATTTGCTGCTCCAACAAACCCGATTCAGCTGTTGAATTACCTGTTCAACAGGTCATCCAGCTCTCTGGGAGCCTGTTAACCACCTGCTGACTAAAGTCAGGTGCGTTGAAGCAGAGAAACCTCTAAAATATGCTAGAAGTGGATCACAGTTGGGATCCCTAAAGCAGAAATCCAGAATTTTTTTCTCAGAGGCACCATCTAGAGGCAAAAAAAGTATTGCACATAAAACCCCTCCACCTACTCCCATGATTACAGCTACAAGCAACTCTTATTCATGAATGGGCACCTGTAGCCGGTTAATAGAGCTAAGACAGTGTTTTACATTTATTATTTAAGTGGTGGTGGGTTTTATAGATACACATATATCAGGGTTTCCCCCAGGCTTTGCTTACCAACCCGCCAGGCTAAGCGTCATGCCCCACACCCCTCCCCGACCCTACCGTGTCCGCTGACACGAACGGCGCAACGAAACTTGAGCCCTCCATCAGCTGATACTGGTGAGAACGCAAGATAACATATAGTCAACAAAACTGTTCCTGTTTCAAGGCCTTAAGCGTTCTCTTATCGCTTCTACAGGATTCCTCTTGCCTCCGAATAAAAGTGAACATTTTCAGCTCATATGAGTTACGGTAACTAATCATATAATGAAATTGACCATATGGTTAAATGAAATGTTTTGATTAATCTGTGCTTAGAATTAATAAGAATGAAATTAAATATATGACCCAAATATTTAACCAGCGTACGTGACTTGACAAGCACACACTCATGCACATGGTTAATCTCATGACACGCTGCTTTCTGATCCACAAATCAGAGCTCCTGTATCTGAGGGAGGTGTGCATCGGAGGTTGGTTGGTAAAACCCCTTTACATGTCAAATTCTGGTTGGCCATGTAATCATAATATGGAAATTGTTAAAACAGAATCACTTGCTGAGTGATTCAGTTAGTTTTTGAGCCGAACTCCGGACTGGCCACCGGAGGAAAACTCCCTAACCACCGCATCTCTTGACAAGCTGTCAAACCTGTTGCACGCTGCAGCGACACAGAACCTTGCTCCTTCGGAACAAAGCTGACACAGCCAAGACTCCTTCAGAGTCCATCGTTCCATAGACGCAAACAACTACCTGTTGTGATCAGGGAGACGACTCTGGACCGACCTGGTCGTACTGCGGTTTTTTTCTACGAACTTCGTAATCTTTTCTTGTTCGGGTGTTTGGCTTTGAACGCAGGGACCTCCAGCTGCGCTACCTTTGGCGGTCACGGTTCTGAACTTATCCAGTCGAATATGCTTGAGGTACCGATGTCTCCCATCTGGAGCTGCTTCATCGGATTGCTACCTGCATGGATGGGCGGCCTATACTCCCATCAGGTTTGGTCTGAAGTATGCCTTCAACATTTTTACTAAAATTCTAATAATTTAATGAGAAATGAGAGAAAGGGTTAGGTGAAGTCACTAAGGGAAGGCCGATGCACATCAGGTGTCTTTGATCAAGAGTTAAAAAGACAACTTCCCTTCTGAACATGGGTGTTGTGGGTGCCCTCCTATGTGTCCTCTGATCCTGAGTGGTTTTAAAACCAGGCAGTGCCAGGATTTTCTAAAGAACACCTGGTTTTGGGGATTAGCTTGCTTTCTGGCACAGCGCCCTGATCTGTATGTCCCAGATGACAGAGAATCCCCCAAAACAAAAGCATCTTGTCCAGTTTCCAGGTAAAATGTAAGCTTTAGAACATGCTGGGCTTGTCTTTCAGGAGTGCTGGGTTTCCTACATGAACCCTCAGGTGTTGGAAATGTATCTGAAGATATGTTTTCAATGAAGATCTACTTCTAGAGTTCTCTCAATACAGACACAAGTCACTGTGACCATTAATCTAAATATTATAAATAATGCTTGTTAGTATTTGTCTGCCTTTTCAGGTCTGTGTTGAGAGGGTAGCAGCTCCAGGATGTCTGTCCTCCAACACCGTAGCCAGTGGGACCCCAAGGTGTTCCCTGGGCAGCCTGGCGATGTGATCTCTCCAGGTAGTTCTGGGTTTACGCAGATTATCGTTTTATTTGTACAGAAAATAATCTTCATTTTAAACAGTTTGCTGCTTGTAAGTTACCAAGGTCAGTTCTTGTATCTTTATTGTTCTACCAAACAAGATAACAACAAGACACCCAAACCAACACTAACCTGGAGAAGATGTCATTGTGAGAGCTATGGTGGCCTTCCTTGAGTCCGTCTTCTCCATACATATCATACTGTTTCCTCTTTTCTTCATCTGAGAGGACCTACACACACACACACACACACACACACACACACACACACACACACACACACACACACACACACACACACACACACACACACACACACACACACACACACACTTTCTTCATACAACGTGTGGGGCATTTATTGGTAATCTTTCAAAGTTCCCTAGTGTTCAGTCACCACTGTCACACTTAGAGTTTAAAACATTTTGTGTATTAAATTAAACAATTTAAGAAAAAACTGAAAAATGGTCACCGTTATTAAGATGACAGATGAAATAATTAGGACAAACCCGTTATAGATTCATTTCCCAGGCTGCAAAGATATTACTGAATTGGGATTTTTACACTCATAAATCAGAACACGTCTGAAAGCTAAAAAAGGTGAAAACAGTCAATTTGGAAATAAAACCTTGCGCCGGAAACACCTGCAAAACCCTTTCAGAACGCCACCCCCACTTTTCCACGTATGCCTTTCCGCCATGCTCCAGCCAATCAGAAGCAGCCACACGGTCCAGTCGACCAATCACCGAGCTCGTAGCGTTTCCAACAACAACCAAGTAGCAAAGCTTACAAAAGTCTCACAATGGAGCCCACCGGCACTTCTGGGGATCCAGTGTAAGATCTCCAATATCCCTGTTATTGTGTGACTATGACATGTTTACAGCCGAGACGGGCTCGCTGCGCCCCTCTTGTCATGTCACTGACATCAGACATTACAACCGACTCTGGCCCACCTCATAAGCTGCTCCTAAATCCGCAAATTTGTCCTGAGCTTTGGGGTCGTCCTGGTTCCTGTCGGGGTGCAGCTGCAGAGCCAGCTTCCTGTAGGCCTTCTTAATGTCTCTTATTGATGCCGTCTTGCTCACCCCCAAAATCTTATAGAAATCTCGACTAGATCAGATGGAGAGAAAAAAAAACATAGCAGCATGTTCAGTATCACAGACATGTAGACATTATAAACAAAGCTGCTAGTTTAAGAGTTTGTCCCGACTGACAGCAGCTAGCTACACACCGGGAGAAGCCGGTTCGGTCTCACTCCTGTTAGCCTACAGCTAACTAATCAAACTAGCTTAAAAGAGGCCAGTTAGAGTCATACGGGTTGGTAATGGCGAATATATCGCTTTGATGGTAAACGACTAAATGCCGCTTAAGTAGTTAGTTGAGAGCGTCAGTCAGCTCCACACATGGAGGACGGTTAGACCAATCACAGAGGAACATGTGTACCAGCTGCTCATCGCAGCTCTCACTTACCCGGCGAGCACCGCCGTGGCGACATAAAGAAGCAAGCAGCACACGTTACACAGGTTCATGCCCTTTTTAGCCATATATCCGGAGGTTAGTGAAGGACCAGATAGAGAAGACGCAACCCGGCTTTCGTAGAAACCCACTGCCAGTCACTAACCCTCTTCTTCCTGTCAGAGAGAGCCCTCCTACGGCGAGAGGGCGGGCCTCCTCTCCGGCAACTCCGCCCCGCCTTAAAGGCGCACCGCCCGCCCGGTGTCGGTCCAGGATCAATAATGCCTGGCCATCAATAAAGTTATTCTCTAAATCATCCGGACTTTCACTCAACCTACATAAATGTGAACTGCTACCAGTTAAAAATTGTTCTGCAACTTCAATCCATGGAATACCTGTAAAAAAAACTCTGTAAGATACCTTGGAATTCAAATAATAAAAAATGAGCAATCCAGATGCTCCAAGAACTTTACTCCTATTATAGACAAAACCCAAAAGATCTTTAATTGTTGGCTACAGCGAGACCTATCAAAAGGAAGAGTTCTGATTTCAAAAGCTGTGGGTATCTCCCGTCTAACCTATGCTGCACAGTCACTACACGTTGATAATACAACTTGTAAATCAATTAGCAAATTGTTATACAATTTCTTATGGAAAAATAAAACCCACTACTTACGTAAATCAGTAGCTTTAAATCCATATGATAAAGGAGGTTTAAGCTTTATTGATTTCGGTGCTCTTAACGACACCTTTAAAATAAACTGGATTTAAAAGTATTCAAAAAATCCCACTTCTATCTGGAATTTTATCTCACATCATGTGTTTTCTAATTCAGGTGGTCTTAACTTCCTACTGCTCTGCAGTTACAGTATTCCAAAAATACCACTAAAACTTTCTCACTTCCATCAACAAATTCTTTTGGCGTGGGCACTGATTTACAAACACAACTCCTCCCCGCAAAACTGTTTTATTTGGAATAACTGCAATATTATTTATAAAAATAAAACAATTTTTTAAATAACTGGTTTAATAATGGAACCATCTTGGTTAGCCAGTTATTTGATGAAAAGGGGCTCTTATACAATTACTCTGAATTCCTTAGGAAATACAATATACCAATAACGCCCAGAGAATTCTCAATAGTGTTTGATGCCATCCCATCCGGTCTGTCCATGTTGTTCAGATGCTCCCACAGCGCTCCACTATCAGTCAGTCGCCCGGATGTGTTACATTCTTCTCTTGGCAGTGTTTGTTTTTCCTCTCGTTGGTGAATAACAAAATAAGAACTCTCTTTCAGGATACAATGACTTCTGTTCCATCGACCATATCTTATTGGGCTAATTTTGTAACAGATATTGAATGGAAAAAAGTTTGGACCTTACCACAAAAATTTCTTTTAACAGTCAAAGTTAAAGAGATTACATTTAAATTGATTCATAAGTTTTATCCTACCAAACAATATTTGTCAAAATTCATAGCTGATATAAATGTAAATTGTACCTCTTGTCAAGAGCAACCTGAAACAGCTACTCACTTGTTATGGTCGAGTAAATTTACAAGTAAATTCTGGAAGGACTTCCGCAAGTTTATTAATGACTCTGTTCTCCCTAACTTTCAACTATACTACAAAGATGTTATCTTTGGTCTTCATAATTTTAAAAACAAGGACAATGATGCTTTCTTCTTTGTTAATATGTTTTTATTTTTGGCAAAATTTCACATACAAAAAAAGCAAAGTCCTTGGCAGAAAACCTGAACTTCTTGTATTAAAAATGAAACTTGAACAATAAGGACGATCTCCTTATCAAAAAACACCAAAGCTCTCAAGTCTGTTAACATTTGTAACCATCTGAAACTGCTCGATTGACTTAACCTCTTCCAAACCTTTCTTTTTTTATTTTTATTTTTCCTTTTTCCTCCATGTCTTCATCATTTCCATCGTTCTTCATTGTAATACTATAATTCATTGTAATACTACAATGGTATGCTTTATGTGATCCCTGTCTTACAATTGTCTGTTCAAAATGTGGTAATTAAAGTTAAAAAAAAGGATCAATAATACCGGGGTCCTGCTGATGACGTCACATTACTGCAAATCTACTCAGCTTTCACACATACGCTTTGGAAAGACATCAGAAGTTTTGCAACACCTAAATGTTTTCTTTATAATTGTAATTTGTTAATAAAACACCATATTATCTTTGTTTTGTAAAAAATGTGAAACTAGGTAAAACCAACATCGGACTGACAAAATATAGAACAGTTCTTATATGTGAAGCCATATCTGTTTGTATTAATGTGGAGTTCATCTGTATATTTCCTTAGTTGTTATCTAAATACATTCTTTGACTCCTGAACCGTCTACAGATGGTTCAGAATGCCTGTGCTCGGCTTCTGACCAAGTCCTCCAAACACACCCGCATCACCCCGCTTCTCCTCCAGCTTCACTGGCTGCCAGTCAACTTCAGGATTCATTTCAAGATCCTGGTTCTGGTCTATAGGGCCTTAAATGGACAAGCACCATCATACATTGGTGATCTTCTTAGTCCCTACACCCCCAGCAGGTCCCTGAGGTCCAGTGACCAAAGCCTACTGGTTGTGCAGCACCAGGCTAAAGACCAAAGGTGACAGGTCATTTGCTGCTGTGGCCCCCAGGCTCTGGAACTCTCTCCCCCTGAGCCTGAGATCAGTGGACTCAGTGGTCTCCTTTAAAAAGCAGCAGAACACTCACTTGTTCAAGCTGGCTTTTGTATGCCCTTCTTCACCACTCTCTCTTTATTCTGCTCTCCCCACCTATTCCACCTTCCTCAGGATCCACTGATTTCCCTCTTTCCTGTTCACTCTCTCTCTTTCATAACATTTTTTAATCACAATTGCCTATTTTTGCTCATTTTAAATAAAATTTTCAACATTTTCAAAATGCTTTTTTATATTTTTACATTTTTTTGTTTTTGTGAAGCGCCTCGTGATTTTTATCTTGAGAGGCGCTATAGAAATGATACTTTCTTCTTCTTCAAAATATTGCTTGGTGTCTTTCAATAAAGTTCTTATATTTTATTTTACCTCATTTCATCAACATCAAGAGCTTTTGAGGGTCACCATTTATCATTTGCTTATATTTTACATTTCATTTAGAAATTCAAACGTATTTTCTCCAAAAAGTGTTGATTTTGGACTACAGGACCACAACCGCTAACTACGACCGCAAATTTGTTCTGACCAATCAAAATCATAACGTGATAACGTAACTTCCGTAAACTTCATGTTTAGCCAATCAACTACTTTGACGTCATCGACAATCGAAGGACCCCGAGTCGATCCTGCACCCGAGCAGGTCCTGTACCGACAGCGGTCCTTCCTACCCGTACAGCATCAGTTCTTTTAATGTATCTCCCGGTTTGGTTAACTCCGGGTCTTAAGTTTAATATAACTACAGCGTTTGTCGCTCGTCGTTGTCCGCTTGACGGCCCACCGAGCTCCCTGGGCGAGGGCCGGAGACTGGCGGTAGGAGCCCAGCTGTTAACCAGCGGTAGCCACGGTAACTAGCACCGAACTTCAGGCAAGTGCTTGAACAAGTGGCCGCTGTCGTTGCGCCATTAAAAGTAAGTTTAGGTTGTTTACACAGAATAGACGCAGCAGGGAGAGCTTGTTTGGCTAGTTAGCTTGTGTCTGAAGTGATGTGTTGCTATGTACAAAAGCCAAGATTATAGTAAACAAACTCTCATACAGGAATTAGATATAACACACGATCAAGCCGTTCACCGCTGATGTCTATGTAGGTGATGAGAACAAACAGAAAGTCCATTTGTTTCCTTTTTAGCAGACGTGGCTCAAAAACATAAGTTAACAAACTTGGACCAAAATAAACTGAAATAAGATCATTTTAAAGACATTAATCATTTACTGATTTTTATTTCTTCTTTAAATCTGACTGTCTTGAGTTGCTGTGATTCAGATCTGGTGCCAGAGTACAGACTTCATTTGGATAAAATCAGATTTATGAGGAGGTTACATGTTGCTCTGATTTTTGAGCGTGTGCGCTTTGTGGAACTACTTGCACTGAAACAACATAGTTTGCAGACATTGCGCATTGAGTGACGCTGTGCCACTGCTCTCTCATCAGACATGGAGGCAGGCCGAGTGGCCATATGGCCACGTATGGAGCCTTTCCTACTGGGTGCCCTGCAGGTGAACACATTCTTGCTGCTGTGATGTTGTAATATATTGCCCAGCTGATGTTAATGTTTTGAAACTAACTAGAGCCACTGACTCAATAGGTGGCGCCTTCCTCCAAACTCGGCCTTCCCTACCTTCGTAAAATGGCGATCTACGTGCAAACGCGGGATGGCTGCTTCCCTGTTCTGAGCTGGCCCAGGTGGAAACGCATTGCCTGTGGAAAGCTGCTGCTTCCAGAAGATGTGGCTTGGCTCTACTTTGAGACCTTTGACCTTTTAGTGGATCACCGTCCACAACAGAGGCTAGAGTGGGCTGAGCGTCTATCCCAGTGCTCCTCCAAAAGCGAGCTGGACCATGCAAGGAACATGGTGTAGTATAGTTAAACGATACTTCTGTCTGTTTGATAGTATTTGTTTGTTAGCTCCTCTCATATTTAAAAGGGAACATTGTGTTGATTTGGAGGCTTTGTGTTTTTGTCTTAAGTTGTCGGTGGACACGCTGCAGTTCCTCCTCTTCCTCTACATCCAGCAGCTGAACCGCATGTCTCTGCGCACATCTCTGATTGGTGAAGAGTGGCCCAGCCATCGTGCTCGTTCCCCTTCCCCATCAGAACGAGAGGCCAAAATCAGTTATCAGAACAGGGTGCTGTGTACTGTTCCTGCAAGCAGTATTTGTGAGATCTCATTGAAAACAAAGATCACGCTCAGTTGTTGTCTGACGTTCCACATTGTCTGTGTTTGTTCCTGTTCTTCGATCAGCAGAACTGGGACGACCAAGCCCATCTGTCATTCATGCAAAGTCACCTGGCTGAGATTTTGGAGCTGTTAGCGGAACCTGGTCAACTTTCACCGTCAGGGCAGGCCCAGAGAGACAGCCAGGTCGGTTCTTACTGAGTGCCCTAGCGGTGTGTAGGGAACCTTACGCGAACAGTACTAAAGGAGTTCTGAGCAGTCCTGATGAGGGTATCTAGAATCTAGTTATGTAAACTGGAGGCAACTTTCCTTTGGATGACATCTGTGTGACATTCATTGTGCCACGGTTAATTAATTAGAAAAATAAAATCATTTTTCGGGTTGGGCATCGATTGGAACCGGTTCCAACTGTTCATTTTTCCCTGATTCGTCCAAAGTTTTTTATTTCAATTCCTAGTTTCGATTCCTAGAATGCCAACGGAAGAGGAATCCGCGGCCGATCTCCATGAAAAATAAACGTGATCTGCAAATTGTGATCAACGCTTTTCAGAGCTGATCCCACCAGCTGTCTGTGCAGCACCGAGTCCCCCCCCCCCCCCCCCTCCGCCCATCCGGATATAAACAAACGCGTCTGGCGAACTATTACTCCGTGACGTAAACTTTAACTCCTGCAGCGTAGAGGAAACTTGTTAAATACATCAACACGGTGGATTTAATAGAAGCTTTAAAGACCAAACTCTGGACGGTGTGAGGTGAGTTTGTCTCACTGCAGAAATAAAAACACACGGAGCCGCTCACCAACACTCGTGTGTTTGTGTGTGTGTGTTATCCGGGTCTGGGCCGCAGGGGCAGCATCCCAACTAGGGAGCTCCAGACCGTCCTCTCCCCAGCCACCTCCACCAGCTCCTCTGGCAGGACCCCAAGGCGTTCCCGGACCAGATTGGAGATGTAACCTCTCCAACGTGTCCTGGGTCGACCCGGGGGCCTCCTGCCGGCAGGACATACCCGAAACACCTCCCCAGGGAGGCGTCCAGGAGGCATCCTGACCAGATGCCCAAACCACCTCAACTGACTCCTTTCGATCCGGAGGAGCAGCGGTTCTACTCCGAGTCCCTCCCGAATGTCCGAGCTCCTCACCCTATCTCTAAGGCTGAGCCCGGCCACCCTACGGAGGAAACTCATTTCAGCCGCTTGTATCCGCAATCTCGTTCTTTCGGTCATTACCCAAAGCTCATGACCATAGGTGAGGATTGGGACGTAGATCGACCGGTAAATCGAGAGTCTGGCTTTCTGGCTCAGCTCCCTCTTCACCACGACAGATCGGTTCAGCGTCCGCATCACTGCAGACGCCGAACCAATCCGCCTGTCGATCTCCCGATCCCTCCTACCCTCACTCTTGAACAAGACCCCGAGATAACTTAAACTCCTCCACTTGAGTTAGGACCTCTCCCCCGACCCGGAGTTGGCAAGCCACCCTTTTCCGGTCAAGGTTAGTCTCATTCAAGTTAAATGCTTTTTAGCAATATTGGTCAGATTTTTTTGGGGCTTGAAAATCTTCAGAGTTGACCTTCCCTTAAATGTAACGATCATTTGCTCCAAGAAAAGGTCCCTGCGGTGGCCCCCAGACCCTGGAGCTCTCTCCCCCTGAGCCTGAGATCAGAGGACTCGGTGGTCTCCTTTAAAAAGCAGCTGAAAACTCACCTGTTCAAGCTGGATTTGTGTGACCTTCATCACAACCAAGGCCCGCCTCACCCCGCTGAACAGAACTGCACCATGTGTAGTTCAAGACTCAGTCCAGAAGAGAGGGAGGGGCCAGGCTTCGAGTAGGTCGCACAGCCGTGGGAACCCAGAGTTTGCTTTATGTCGCGCAGTTGACACGCAGATCCAGGAAAATTCTGCTGCTGCAGGCAGCCAGCACACAACTCCAAAACACAAAGCTGACGGATTTCTGCTAATTAGTGTAGAAAGTTGGTCTGAGCTCGCTCGCACACAAGCCAGTGACTTAGCATAAATAATGGTCTATTTTTTACCCTAATGATAATCTCAGTGGTCCAGATTGTTGCGTAGAAGTCATCCACCTGCTCTGTCTGCAACTCTGAGCTCCTCCTTCACTCCACCTGTCTGATTCTGTCTCCCACCTGCTGCACGCCGCTGCTTTGACCTCTGACCTGCTTGTGTGCGAGCGAGCTCGGTCCAACTTTCTAAACTAATTTGAAGAAATCTGGCCCAGCTCAGATTCGAACCCGGGCCCCCTGCATGAAAGAGTGTTCCTGTCCTCCGCGTCAACGGCTCCGCCCATAACCCAGAAGCGAACTTTACTGGGCTATCTAGAATCTAAGTATTAGGTAACGGCACAGGGTTTTTGTGATTTTGGCTTAAAACGGTATAATCGTAGCTATTCACAACAGCTATAAAAGGTTATTAGAGTGGGACTTAAATAAGTTTCATGCTTTTTCCTCCTACTGGTTGAAAGCTGAATTACAACTGTAATTAATAACCTTGCTGTAGCTAACGCTAACAAAGAGCTAACACAAGCCTACTCAGAAAATAAATGTTTTCTTCTTCGTGTGCTGTTTATTGGAGGTCAGGGAACTGAAGAACTAACTGCTAGCCTTTATATTTTGCTACCAGTACAGTAAAAGCTATTGCCTTAAAGCAGGTAGGGAGCTCCCACCAGTGCTCTTACCCACCCTACAAAACAGTGTAATTCGGTTTCTGGCCAGCAGAGGGCTACAGAGTGCTTCTCAATGTGAAGTTGCTCAAGAACCACTGAAACCAGTTTAAAAGTGTTATTTCTGTAGTGTTGCTTTCTGATTGCGTGTGAAATTCCAGCCACTGTTGTATGATCTCTGATGTTTTTCAAATCTGGACTAAAATGACGTTTTGAACACTTGATGTAGCTGATCCCCAGTTGTGTATAGCAGATATCCCGGGAAGCTGTACGGAGTTTGGGTCTGCTTTTGGAAGGTGCAGCTGACCACGGGAAACCAGTTCAGCCTGTCCACCGGCTTTTGGTCAAAGGTCCCCTCCAAACACAAGCTGGTTACTCCACTCAGAGCCGCTCCTTCCCCCTGCGCAAGCTCCTCTCCTGTCTCCAACGCTGCCTCACACTCATTCCTTTTGGAATAACTGCCTGCCTCAACTCAGGAAAGAAACAAATCTGGTCTCAACAAGGTTTGATTCTCCTGGCACCTGAGTTCCTTAGTAGTCTGTTTCTATACCTGCATGCTAAAAGATGTTTGACCGTGTGCTTGATGTCTCTTAATTCCAGTGGAAGGGGCCATGAAGAGAGCCATGATAGCCAGGAACACCCACATGGCTCCAGCTGGCAGTAAAATGGTGCTTATGTCCCAAGTCTTTAAACAAACTCTGGCTGAGACGTCAGATAAGCTAACTGGTGCCAACATCAAAATCCACAAGTGTTCTGAAGCGTTCATCTACCTCCTCTCTCCTCTCAGGTGTGGGACATTTCTATCATTGGATAAAATATTTTACACTACTCAAACACCGTTCATCTGATTTTAACCCAGTTTTGTGTTGTGTCCTTTAGGTCTGTCAATGTGGACAAATGTCGAGATAGTACCGTGGTTCTTGGTCCTGTCCAGACCTGTGTCCATGTCCATAGCTGCCAGAATGTACGCGTGGTGTGTGCAGCTGGCAGGGTTGCAATTGGAGCCTCCTCACACTGCACCATCCATGCCATGACCCCCACCCGCCCACAGCTTTTGCCTGGGAACACAGACATCACCCTGGGTCCTTTTCATACTTTTTACCCTTCCTTGGAGGACCACATGGCCAGCGTGGGTCTCGCTGTAGTCCCTAATGTCTGGGATCAGCCATTAATTTTGGGGACAGATGGCCTCGTCAGTTCCTCAAACAACTCGCCATCCAGCCAGGACACCACACACAAACTGCTGCCCCCATCTGAGTTTCATACACTGTCTGTGCCTTTCCAGATGGAAGGCGATACATGTGAAGTACCTGGAGGATTGCCTCCTGCGTACCAGGCAGCGCTGGATGAAAAGCAAAAGAGAATACAGAGCTGGCAGAAAACCGTGATGGAGGCCCGGCTGAACAAGTGAGTGTTTATCAGTGGAAAATCTGTTATGAAAGTCAGAATTGATTTGGCTCTGCTGCTCTGCTGTTGAAACATTGTGAAGCTCACTGTAGCAAATAAGCAATTATCTAACATGTCCAGTCTTTGTGTTAGTAGCTTGTTATTGTGAATGGGGAATGTAAGATTTCGGGAAAAGCCGTTCAAGCAAGCTACTTTTTGGAGATAAAAAAACAAGTCCAGCAGGAATCCTTTCCTCAGACTCCCCTTAGAGTGACAGAATGTGATGGCTGCAGAAACAGTACAACACCAGACACAACTGTAAAACCGTAACTTTCTGTTACGCTTTTCACCCGGTGTCGACACCTTTTCTGCCATAATTCTTAAAACACTTACCTAAAAGCTTAGTCTCTGGCTAATATATAGTGGTGTCTTAATAGTGAAATATGAGGAAGCCATTAGCTTTCCTGGTTTATTACCTTAAAAATCACAGCAGCTCCAATGCCTCTAATAATCTACTCAGAGGTGATTACATGTATTCATTTTCTGACTAAGATTTTGATTTATTGATTTGTGTAGAATGAGGATTGCTGTAAAGACTCTGAAACAAGTCGGTACAGGGTATCCGTGGGTCCTTAAAAAGTCTTAAAAAGTTTTAAATTTGCTTTTCCAAATTTAAGGCCTTAAAAATCCTTAAAAATGACAAATAATCCTTAAACACAGTTTACAAAGGTCTTAAATTACCAAAGACCCAATAAACAAGATTATGTTATTTCTGTAAAATTTTCGCGAATTTCTAGTTAGTGTTCAGCGTTTTTTGTGGACGATGTGGGTGTAAGCGGAACCGTACACATGCAGTTGGTCGTGGAAGGGGGCTATTTTTAGATGAGCACATTAGCAGGTTAAGCTAGTGAGAGCTTGTGCCATGGGAAAGTGCAAGTTTAATGGTAACTGGATGGCTAATCCCACATTCGCGACGTGGTTAGCACCGGTTCCAGGCAATGGCTGGAAATTATAGCTTAAATTGAATTTTAAAAAAATAGCTTAAATTTGGTCAAAGTGGCCTTAAAAAAGGTCTTAAAAAGCCTTACATTTGGCGCCCTTAAACCTGCAGATACCCTGCAGTGACTCGATGCAACCTGCTGGATTCCATACAGAAGAAACTTGTTACTGATTGGCTTAAGGAACTGACCTGTATTGGAATGCTTACTTTGTGAAGTGCCTTGAGACTACTCTTGTTGTGATTTTGAGCCATATTAATAAACTTGAATTGAATTGAAGAGCATTTAAAGTTAAATTTAAAAAAAGCTCCTGAAAAACATCCCAGACTGCACTTTTAATGCTTTGCCTCAGTTGTACCATCTTCCTTTTCTGTCTGTGTGAAGGATGTTCTGTTTGTTTTGTGTCTGCAGGGAGCAGAAGAGACAGTTTCAGGAGCTGGTGGAGTTGAAGTTTCACGAGTGGCTTCTGGACACTGGGCACCGGCAGGAACTTTACAGCCTCATCCCACCTGCAGTCACGTCTCTGGAGGACCCTAAAGAAGCAGCAACAGACCGTATCAGAGTTAAAGACAGGAAGCATAGCAGGACTGCCCCAGAGGAGGGATAGCCACTCATGGCTTCTTAAAGCTTTGACGTGACGTGTTCTCTAGCAGGATGATTGTACCTGGTACCCGAGGCAGCGTGGTTCCGTGGACAGTTTGCTGTTGGGATTTGTATCGAAGCAGAACAGTACATGAGAGTGAAGAAGCCCCTCTGCCGAACTTAGTTCTCCTTTTTTGCATAAGAAAGAAAATACGATGACATTTAAGATTTTTTTTGACTTATATATGTTATGTACTAAATAAAGTTTATATTTAAAATAACAGAGCTCATCTGTAAGCCTTGATTTCATAACATGACTCATTCTTCTGCATGAAATGATGATTGATCAACTGACAATAGTTAATGTGAAACCAGCTTTGTCATAAAACATTTCTCATAGATATAAGGGAGGTGAGGACATGAGGTACCCTGTCTCTGGCTAAGCCTCTCCAGATTTCTTACATTTTTAATGCATTCATTTGTTTTTTGGAGTAATAAGTTGTTGCCCCTATCAAAGTTTATTACTTTATTTTCATTTCATCTTTGAGTTATTGTAGCACAAAAGCACGCTAAAACACATTTTCTGTTGTTCCACCTAGCTTTTAAGGAACCATTTGAGTTCTCACGCAGTTTATTTGGTGTTGAACAGTTTGCTCGTCCATTTAGCTTAGCCTCAGCACGGCTATGGCTACTTCTGTCTCTGCTTCTCTGTCTCCTATCTCTTGCTCTGTGTCAGATGTTTAGTTACTCCTCTGCCTCCTTTAGTGATAATGGTACGTGCAAAAAATGTAGCATTTTTTGTAGCTTTGGAGGCGAGGGTGTCTGAATTGGAGGCCTGGCTCAGCACGGTTGAAAAGCCCGTAAACAGCTGTAGCTACTTAGCTAGCGCGGGGTTAACTAGTTCAGAACCACCCCGTAGCCATTCTCCAGCAGAGCCCGAACAGCCGGGACCTTAGGCCGGCTGGGTGACGGTACGCAGGAAGCATAGAACCCAGCCCGTGGGCCACCACCAACCCGTCCATGTTTCTAACAGATTTTCTCCGCTCAGTTACTTTATAGGATTTTTTACAAGTAAAATTAATTCTATTACAAACAATCATTAGCATCCTCCCTAATGTGATTTCTTCTTCCTCAGTAAGTGAGGCAGCATCAGAGGTAACTGTAGAACCTCATCTGTGAACCGTTTTGATCCAGTTGAGCTTTCAAAGTTATCAAAAATATTAGCTTCATCTAAACCTTCCACTTGCATTTTGGATCCAATCCCAACCAAATTATTTAAAGATGCATTTCCTTTGGTTACTGCCCCCATTCTAGATATAATCAATCTATCCTTAGTAAATGGATACGTACCACAGGATTTTAAGGTTGCTGTAATCAAACCTTTACTTAAGAAGCCTTCTCTGGATCCAGATGACCCAATGAATTATAGACCAATATCTAACCTTCCATTTTTATCCAAAGTCCTGGAGAAAATAGTGGCCATCCAAGTATGTGAGCATTTAAACACTAATGATCTGTTTGAGGAATTTCAGTCTGGTTTTAGAGAGTATCACAGCACTGAAACTGCATTAGTGAGAGTTACAAATGATATTCTCATGGCCTCAGATAAGAATCTTGTGTCTGTTCTAGTCTTGTTAGATCTCAGTGCTGCCTTTGACCCAGTTGATCACAATGTTCTTTTAGAAAGACTTGAACATGTTGTGGGGATCAAAGGAACAGCGCTAGGCTGGTTTAAATCCTACCTGTCAGATAGATTTCATTTTGTAAATGTACATGACAAATCTTCTTCATACTCCAGGGTTACTTGTGGAGTACCACAGGGTTCAGTGCTTGGACCAATTCTTTTTACTATATATATGCTCCCAATTGGTAAAATCATTAGACAGCATGGGATAAACTTCCACTGTTATGCTGACGATACTCAGTTATATTTATCCATTAACCCTGATGAACCTAATCGATTAGGTAGATGACAGGCTTGTCTTGTTGACATAAAAATTGGATGACTCAAAACTTTTTGCTTTTAAATCAAGACAAGACGGAAGTTCTCATCTTTGGACCTAAAATTCAGATTGCTTAGTCAATCACCTAACTTGAATGGCATTAAATTAGTCTCCGAGAACAAAGTAAGGAACCTGGGTGTTATCTTTGACCAGGACATGCCATTCAAATCCCAGGTTAAACAGGTTTGTAAGATTTTATTTTTCCACCTTCGGAATATTGCTAAGATTAGAAGCATCCTTTCCAGGAGTGATGCTGAAAAACTAGTTCATGCATTTATTACATCAAGACTGGATTACTGTAATTCATTACTCTCAGGAAGTCCACAGAATGTAGTTAAAAGTCTTCAGCTTGTCCAAAATGCTGCAGCTAGAGTTCTGATGAGAATTAAAAAGAGAGATCATATCTCTCCTGTCTTAGCTTCCCTACATTGGCTACCTGTTAAATTCAGAATAGATTTCAAGATCCTCCTTCTCACATATAAAGCTCTTAATCATCAAGCTCCATCATACATCAGTGATCTGATTGTTCCATATGTTCCTAACCGAGCACTTCACTCTCAGACTGCAGGTTTACTGGTGGTTCCCAGAATATCTCAAATTAGGATGGGAGGCAGATCTTTTAGCTATCAGGCTCCTCTCCTGTGGAACCAGCTCCCAGCTTTATTCTGTGAGGCAGACAATTTGTCTACTTTTAAGACTAGGCTTAAAACATTTTTATTTGATAGGGTCTATAGTTAAAATCTGATGTTAGCCCAGATCTGGACAAGTGGGGGAGTAGAGGGAGGTGGAATGTACAGTCGGTAAAGACGGCTCTCCCTTGCCCTGCCTCCAACATGCCTCCATCTAAAAAGACTAGGTTATCCAGAGTTATCTCTGTAGTTATGCTGCTATAGGCTTAGACTGCTGGAGGACACACTGACCACTTTCCACACTCGACTACTTTCTTCTACAATCTGCTCTTTAACTGTATTATTTCCTGCTATTTCAGCTGTTAACTTTATTTTTTCTCCCCAGAAGAAGCTACAATGATGTTCTGCTGAGCTGTGGTGGCCTCATGGAGGGGGCCATCGTCTTGAACACTGTTGCTATCCATTAAAAATACAATTAGGTTTATCTCTCACCAAATAGAATATTTACTAAGAAATCACAATGTAACCATAGAAACACTACTTGGTGTGTGTGTGTGTGTGTGTGTGTGTGTGTGTGTGTGTGTGTGTGTGTGTGTGTGTGTGTGTGTGTGTGTGAGTGTGAGTGTGTGTATGTGCGTGCGTGTGCGTGTGTGTGTGTGTGTGTGTGTGTGTGTGTGTGTGTGTGAGTGTGAGTGTGACTGTGTGCGTGTGCATGTGTGTGTGCGTGTGTGTGTGTGCGTGCGTGCGTACGTGTGCGTGTGTGTGTGTGTGTGCGTGCGTGCGTGCATGCGTACATGTGCGTGTGTGTGTGTGTGTGTGTGTGTGTGTGTGTGTGTGTGTGTGTGTGTGTGTGTGTGTGTGTGTGAGTGTCAGAAGGCTGAACAATAACCTGTAGAATAATTAGTCATTATAGAGCAGCTTCTCTGTTCTGGACCACACCAGCTTCTGCCACAATAAATACCGTAATAATAATAATAATAATGTGTGTGTGTGTGAGTGTCTGCTCTGTCTTCTCGATCCCCAGTGAGTCGTGGTGGATGGCTGCTTATACTGAGCCAGGATCCTCTGGAAGTTTCTTCCTGTTAAAAGGGAGTTTTCCTCTCCACTGTTGCTAAATGCTTGCTTAGTATGAGGGTTGCTGTAGTTGTCACTGACTCGATGCAATTTGCTGGGTTCCTTATATAGGAATCTTTTTACTGATTGGCTTAATGAACTGACCTGTATTGGGATGTTTATTATGTGAAGTGCCTTGAGATGACTCTGGTCGTGATTTGGCGCTGTATAAATAAACTTGAATTGAATTGAATTGAATTGAATTACAAAACTGCGATCAACACACGCATTTTCTCACTCACGAAGCTGACAGCCGGACTGGTACATGTCAGTACTGTGCACAGTACATGAAAGCCCACTGCACAAATATCTCAGATTATAAGCACATCAAAATTTAAAACGTTAACAAACAAGCAAAATATTATTCATATAATTGGGTAACTTATGTCAAGCACCAAGGATCTGCACAGGACAACCTGCCGGGTATGTGGGTAGTCAGTTGTTGATGTCACAGTGCATTTCAACTTAGAAAGCAGAAATCAACTGAAAGTACTAACAGTTAATTACAGTAGCTTCCTGTACCTTCAGATCAGGGAGCAGGTTGCTAATGGCTCAGAGCACCCACCCTTTTTGGAGGTCTCCAACCAGGGACTCCATAGTTCTCTGGGGCAATTAGGAGGTCTCCCAAACCAAATGTTTTTCAGTATATGACAGTTAGAAGGATTGACTAGCACCTTACCAAGGTAAACTGCCTTAGCTACAGATGTCATGTGATAATAAATTACCTCTATGACCAGCGACAGTTCTGACGGAAGTTTTTTGCTACATTTTGTACAAATTAAATAATTGGGACTATAAAACTATACATATACATTAATCCTAGATGTTTCTTTGATTTAAAATTTGCATTTTAAATGAAAGATGTATTTTTGTGTGGCATAACTGTTCATATCCAAGTAAAACATGTCAATAGTCCCATTCTGTACAGTGATCCTTCTGGATCCATCCAAAAGGCAGGGCTAAGTCATGAGCAAGCAGGCTAGGGGCAAACTGGTACAGCTGGCATGTGTTATAGTGGGCACTGGACCCAGCCAGTGGGAAGTGGGGGTCAGTGGACACGTACCAGTGCCTGGCTATTATGCCGTAATCCTTCCTCGCTTTTCTGGATAAGCTGAATAGAACTAGAATCACTGACTCAATTTTTGGATCTCATTTTCATGACAAAGCGATTGTTCCCCTTTTGCCTCAGCTGTTGCTGTCTATACATGTGGGGGAATGGGGGGTATAAAAAGCACCAACTGAAAGGTCAGACAACACTGAGACCTCACCAGCTCCACCACCATCATTCATCACCAAAGCTGTCCGACACATTACATCCGTCATGGGCAGGGTGAGTGGGAGCCTTAAGGCTGTAGACTGTTCTGGTGAAAATTAAAGCTGTTGGATCACTGGAAAAACTTTTTTGGGAGATCAATTGGTAAGGCAGCTCAGGTAATATTTGTAAGACGAGCCACTGACATTCCTCCTCTCGTCCTATAGATCATCTTTTACGAGGACAAGAATTTCCAGGGTCGACGCTACGAGTGTGACAGCGATTGCTCGGATTTTCATGCCTACCTGAGTCGCTGCAACTCCATCCGCGTGGAGAATGGGGCTTGGGTGGTGTATGAGAGGCCGAACTTCATGGGCTACCAGTATGTCCTGACCAGGGGGGAGTATCCAGAGTACCAGCGCTGGATGGGGCTAAACGATCGCCTCAGTTCCTGCAAAGTGATCCACTTTGTAAGCCAGCCTTTTGTCTTGTTTGCTCCCAAACTGAGTAGATCTGAGCGGCAAGAACAAGTCAGGCATGAGAGAAATGATGTTGGAGTGTTGTTGCCTCTGCTCAGTCAATTATTGTTAGAGGATTCGAGGTCTGAATCACCCACAGCCCACAGGGTCTCGCAATCAAAGATCAATACAACTAGCAGTTTAACTTTATGCAAATTTTTAAGGGGGAAAATGACGACACGGTGTCTCATTAATGCTTTTCTATTGTGTCTTATTGAACATCTTGGATATTAGGACAAGATTTACAAGAGTAAAATTGACTGTAAATCACTCAGCAGAACTTCAAAATTCTTAGAAAACGTAGAAAGTCTTGTTTGCTGTGCATTCCATCTCCATGTAAATCTGCTGTGCTCCTTACCTTCCAGACCAGTGGGATGCAGTACAAGATGCAGCTGTATGAGAAGGCTGACTTCGGGGGTCAGGTGATGGAGGCCACGGAAGACTGCCCCTCACTCCTAGAGAAGTTCCGCTGGAGAGAGGTGAACTCTTGTAAGGTCTTTGAAGGCTGGTGGGTTTTCTACGAGCGCCCAAACTACAGTGGACATCAGTACTTCCTGGAGAAGGGGGAGTACCGCAAGCCTGGTGACTGGGGAGCAGTCAGTCCTACGGTGCAGTCCTTCAGACGCTTCACTGAATGATTGAAATTCCATCCAGAATATTCAAAAACACTAATATGAGCTCCGTCAGGGAACAAGCTCACTTAATATGGCTCTTTTTGACTATGTTGCAATTTTGAACTGAGGTCTCAAAATAAAAATAAATACCCAGCAAGTAGATCCAGGACTTGTGAACATTTTTTTTTAATTTTGAAACAGAACATTTCCTTTTTGTGGTAGAAATTGGATTTTTTACTGGAGCCTCATGTTGGTGTAGCCACTCTCCATAGGATCAAGGGATGTCACGGTAACCGGTGTAGCGGTAAACCCTGGTAAAAATGTTGATAATAATAATATCTGTCTTGTTTTTCTAAAAATATATATTATCTCGGTGGATTACCGTAGGCGCAGTGACCCTTACCAGCCACCGTCGCATCTGCTGAAGTTGCCTCACATGCTCACTTTATAGTTTACAACCAAAACTTTCATGAAGCTGAAGCTGAAATAATGGCCGAAGGAGGGGACGGCAGCACTCAGGACCTCTATCAGCCCTCAAAGAAGACAAAGTCGGAAATACGGGCATATTTTGGATTTTTGAAGAGAATGAATTACAGTAATCCAGTCTTGATGTAATAAATGGATGAACTAGTTTTTCAGCATCACTCCTGGAAAGGATGCTTCTAATCTTAGCAATATTCCGAAGGTGGAAAAAGGAAATCCTACAAACCTGTTTAACCTGGGATTTGAATGACATGTCCTGGTTGAAGATAACACCAAGGTTCCTTACTTTGTTCTCAGAGATTAATGTAATGCCATTCAGGTCAGGTGATTGACTAAGCAATTTCCTTTTCTCACTTTCGGGTCCAAAGATGAGAACTTCCATCTTGTCTTGATTTAAAAGCAAAAAGTTTAGAGTCATCCAATTTTTTATGTCCTCGAGACAAGCCTGTAATCTACCCAACTGATTAGGTTCATCAGGGTTAATGGATAAATATAACTGAGTATCGTCAGCATAACAGTGGAAGTTTATCCCATGCTGTCTAATGATTTTACCAATTGGGAGCATATATACAGGTGCTGGCCAGTAAATTAGAATATCATCAAAAGGTTGAAAATATTTCAGTAATTCCATTCAAAACGTGAAACTTGTACATTATATTCATGCAATGCACACAGACCAATGTATTTCCAATGTTTATTACGTTTAATTTTGATATTTATAGGTGACAACCAATGAAAACATCAAATCTGGTATCTCAGAAAATTAGAATATTCTAAAGGCCAATGAAAAAATGTTTGTTTCTCTAATGTTGGCCAACTGAAAAGAATGAACATGAAAAGAATGTGCATGTATAGCACTCAATACTTAGTCGGGGCTCCTTTTGCCTCAATAACTGCAGTAATGCGGCGTGGCATGGACTCGATCAGTCTGTGGCACTGCTCAGGTGTTATGAGAGCCCAGGTTGCTCTGATAGTCGTCTTCAGCTCCTCTGCATTGTTGGGTCTAGCGTATTGCATCCTCCGCTTCACAATACCCCATAGATTTTCTATGGGGTTAAGGTCAGGCGAGTTTGCGGGCCAATCAAGGACAGGGATACCATGGTCCTTGAACCAGGTGCTGGTGGTTTTGGCACTGTGTGCAGGTGCCAAGTCCTGTTGAAAGGTGAAGTCTGCATCCCCATAAAGTTGGTCAGCAGCAGGAAGCATGAAGTGCTCTAAAACTTCCTGGTAGACGGCTGCATTGACCCTGGACCTCAGGAAACAGAGTGGGCCAACACCGGCAGATGACATGGCACCCCACACCATCACTGACGGTGGAAACTTTACACTGGACCTCATGCAACGTGGATTCTGTGCTTCTCCGCTCTTCCTCCAGACTCTGGGTCCTTGATTTCCAAAGGAAATGCAGAACTTGCTTTCATCAGAAAACATAACTTTGGACCACTCAGCATCAGTCCAGTCCTTTTTGTCCTTGGCCCAGGCGAGACGCTTCTTGCGCTGTTTCTTGTTCAAGAGTGGCTTGACACACGGAATGCGACACCTGAATCCCATGTCTTTCATGAGTCTCCTCGTGGTTGTTCTTGAAGCGCTGACTCCAGCTGCAGTCCACTCTTTGTGGATCTCCCCCACATTTTTGAATGGGTTTGTCGTCACAATTCTCTGCAGGGTGCGGTTATCCCTAGAGCTTGTACACTTTTTTCTACCACATTTTTTCCGTCCCTTCGCCTGTCTGTTAATGTGCTTGGACACAGAGCTCTGCGAACAGCCAGCTTCTTTAGCAATCACCTTTTGTGTCTTGCCCTCCTTGTGCAAGGTGTCAATGATTGTCTTTTGGACAGCTGTTAAGTCAGAAGTCTTCCCCATGATTGTGGTGCCTTCAAAACAAGACTGAGGGACCTTTTAAAGGCCTTTGCAGGTGTTTTGAGTAAATCAGCTGATTAGAGTGGCAGCAGGTGTCTTCTATATTCAGCCTTTTCAGAATATTCTAATTTTTTGAGATACCAAATTTGGAGTTTTCATTAGTTGTCACTTATGAATATCAAATTTAAATGTAATGAACATTGGAAATACATTGGTCTGTGTGCATTGCATGAATATAATGTACAAGTTTCACGTTTTGAATGGAATTACTGAAATATCTTCAACCTTTTGATGATATTCTAATTTACTGGCCAGCACCTGTATAGTAAAAATAATTGGTCCAAGCACTGAACCCTGTGGCACTCCACAAGTAACCCTGGAGTATGAAGAAGATTTGTCATGTACATTTACAAAATGAAATCTGTCAGACAGGTAGGATTTAAACCAGCCTAGCGCTGTTCCTTTGACCCCTACAACATGTTCAACCCTTTCTACAAGAACATTGTGATCAACTGTGTCAAAGGCAGCACTGAGATCTAACAAGACTAGAACAGACACAAGATTCTTATCTGAGGCCATGAGAATATCATTTGTAACTCTCACTAATGCAGTTTCAGTGCTGTGATACTCTCTAAAACCAGACTGAAATTCCTCAAACAGATCATTAGTGTTTAAATGCTCACATACTTGGATGGCCACTATTTTCTCCAGGACTTTGGATAAAAATGGAAGGTTAGATATTGGTCTATAATTCATTGGGTCATCTGGATCCAGAGAAGGCTTCTTAAGTGAAGGTTTGTTACAGCAACCTTAAAATCTTGTGGTACTTATCCATTTACTAAGGATAGACTGATTATATTTAGAATGGGGGCAGTAACCAAAGGAAATGCTTCTTTAAATAATTTGGTTGGGATTGGATCCAAAATGCAAGTTGAAGGTTTAGATGAAGCTAATATTTTTGATAACTCTGAAAGCTCAACTGGATCAAAACGGTTCAAGCACAGATGAGGTTCTAGAGTCACCTCAGAAGCTGCCTCACTTACTGAGGAAGAAGAAATCGCATTAGGGAGGATGCTAAAGATTTTGTTTCTAATAGAATTAATTTGACTTGTAAAAAATCCCATGAAGTCATTGCTGCTGACGGCTAAGGGAATAGATGGCTCAGAGCTATGATTCTGTGTAAGTTTGGCAACTGTACTGAAAAGAAATTTAGGATTATTCTTATTCTCCTCAATTAATGCTGAGAAATAAGCAGTTCTAGTTTGTCGAAGCTTATTTTTATAAAGCACAAGACTATTTTTCCAGGTTAAGTACTCCTCATGGTGCGTAGAGCGCCATGTTCTCTCCAGTTTCCTAGAGTTTTGTTTTAAGGCTCGTAAATGAGAATTAAACCAGGGAGCCAACTTCCTGTCTCTTATTACCTTCTTTTTCAAAGGGGCAATATCATCTAATGCCACACGTAAAGAGGAATTAACATGATGAACTAAGGCATCAATTTGTGAGGGGCAAGAACTGAAAATATTGCCCTCTGCTACGTTCCTCTGAGATGTAGAGGACAGTAAAGATGGAACAGTTGATTTAAAAGATGCAACAGCGTTGTCAGATAGAGACAGACTATAGTGAAATTTTAATTCCATCTTTTAGTTCTTTTTAAAACACAGAAAGGTTTTATTTACCTGCAACATTTCGTTTGCGGCTGCAGCATAACTTGGTGAGGGTAAAGAGTTCTTCTGTTACCAAGAAAAGGAGCAGTCTTAGGAGGCCGGGAGGAGAAAAACAACAACTTTTATTTAGAAACGAAACCGCTGCAGAAGCATGCAGTCAAAACAAAGCTCCAAGTAAAAGAGACAAAACATAATAATGTACTTGGACTCATATGAGTTGTGCAACAATGATGTTTCTACTGTTGCTTCAGTGTGTCAGAAACTTCTGTTCAGGCTAGCCACTCAGAACCATGGCCTCCCTGTGTGGCCAGAAACAAATCTGAGGTGACACAGGTGATAACAGGTTGGGTTAAGATCAGAGAGAACATTCCAGCCAGTCACACGCTTCCAGGATACTCCAGTCTTTATCCCTGTTTCTGACAGTCCTGGGACAATAATAAAACATACTCTATTGTCAGTATTTATCTGGTTTCTGCTGCTGTGTTTACATTTCATGCATTCATGAGGCAAGCTTTAAAAATAAAAGCAATGATGAAATGGTGATAGACATGGATGGACAAACAGAAATCCATCAGGACTCAGGATCCGATGTCCTCTGAAGCCTAGGTGGATCAGTCGGAGTGTAGTCTATGTCTGCGGGCGTCCTGGTCCAGAAAGAAAGTACAACAAAGAATAAATAAAGACATTAGATTATGACGATGCTGAAGATGGAGACAGAGTCAGTAAAACTATGAATCTGAGGCCCCCGTGATAGCACTCCCCCATCACTCCCACTTCCCATTCCATCCTTCTGTATTACCAAGACAGTTGCTTCATCCAGGTGCGTGTCACTGGGCAACCATCTAAATATAATATTGTGACTGTGATTTATGACCCTGCAGCAGTGGTTACCAGGATGTTCATCCACTGAGAGTCAGAGTAGACGTAAAGAGCTTTTCTGTCTGTCCGAAGCACCATCACGTTGTCCCCTCGTAGCTGTCTCATCTCCTTCTCTCCTTCTGCAACAAAGATCTGCAGAGAGGCAGAGAAGAGCAACGTTTGCTGAAAGGATCTGAGGAGAAAATGCCTCAGAAGAACAGACAGCACATGAAAAACGTGTCTTTCTGCAGACTCCACAAAAGATAAATGATAATACATCATCAGGTGAACAGAATTGTTGTTTCAGTCTATGTGACACAGACCATCAGAGGTTTCTGTAGGGATGGACCCTGAGAGCAGCTGCATGGAGCCGATGGTCCTGGGTCTCCTGAGTCTCCCTGAAGTCCTGGCAGAATATACACTGGAACGGCACATGGTATGTAGTTTATACATGTAGAACCCAAAAAATGAGAATATGGTGCAAAAGTCCATTTATATCAGTAACTCATCTTAGACTGGGAGACCATCTAAAGCACATGGGACAGACACAAGGAGCATTTTTATGTGGCCCATGAGATAAATATCAAAAATATATTAAAACTGACCCGCTGGCCGATTTGACCACAAAGACTACAACTCCCATGATGCTTTACGGCGTCAGCGCGGAGCCGAAGCACCCCCTCCTTTGTATTTTTTCCAGCGTCTGCTGCCGGTGTCTGCAGCTCCGCTGTCTCGGACAAACTAAACACTCCTCTCACTCAGCGCCCAGTTCACTCAGCTATTTGCCGACGTTGAAACCCAGAAACGGAGATTTTAACCGCTCAGTAACGTGTTCACGACTGAAAGAGAAAGTTTTCCAACTAACGTCCAGACAGAGCTGATATAACTCCAGCAAGCAGCGACACGCTCAAACCAGCACGACTCTGTGGCTGCTGTCATTGTTATTTTTCCTCCCCGACACACAACAACGTGGTCAAGATGCTCAGACATGTTCAGCAGCACAAAACTATGTGAGCACCTGTTGTCATCTAATGTTGTCATTATTATGATGAAGATGAACAAAACAACAGGAGTCTCCTCCTCAGCTCAGATCAACCCCATGATGCAGGTATCTGGCTGGAACAGGTGAGCATCACAGTAAACCAGTGGAGCAAACTGAGCTTTAAATATGTTGGTTTTCTGCTCTTTTTCTGCTCCAAAACATGAAAGTTAACAGGTGAGATGTTGCATTTTCATTTAAGATAAAATTATGCTTTTATTTTGTTGTTGGCCCGTGAGAAAAGATTTAACCTACAGTAAACAGGAAGTGGAAAGGCTGCAGATAGATGAATAGAATAGAAAATCCCTTTATTGTTCCTCAGTGGGGAAAGCTAGACGTCACAGCAGCGATGACACTTATTACAGGAGAAAAAAGGAGAATAAAAAATAAGAAAAATGAACAACAAAACATAAATCCTGAATAGTTTTTAAAAATGCTGAATATTCCACAAGTAATGAATACCACTGATGCGTTTTATTTAAAACTGACTTGCTCGTGTGTAATTTGATTTTTCCACATTCAGTGTTAATGCAAAAATAAGTTTGTTTCCTAATTAAAAGGTTCTAAATATGTTGATAAAGAAAATGTGCAAATTTGCCATCACTTTTTCAAAAAATATTAAGTTCGGCCCTCGACTTCGTCCCAGATTTTCATTTCGTCCCAGTGTGACTTTGAGTTTGACACCCCTGCTGTAAAGGCTCAGGAACACTTTGTAGGTGTTGGAATGAGGCTGTCTCATAGGTTAGTTTATCCTTTTAGGTTGAATTAGTGACAAATGATCTTTTTCAGCAGATTCTAAATGTTCCCGTTTCACCTGTAGAGGTTATGTTTCTCCTGACACAAGCACAAAGGAAAAGCCACACTGCCATCATCCACACAGGTGTATCTGTCATCAAAGACTTCACGTGGATGGAGACAGGAAGTTGTAGGTAAGCGTGCCCCTTCCAACCTTTTCAGAGCAGACCTCTGTTACTCAGTCCACGATGGATCAATTTGTTTTTGTCGAAAGCTCCTTTCTTGTCTAGATCATCTCCAACTGGCTCTTTACTTCCAGGGGAGGAAGACCGGTCCCACTGCTGAAACACTCCTTACAGCATCTCATAGGTGGTGGGTCCACACAAGGTTGTTCCATGTAGCTCATTTATTCTGTGCCCCACCAGATTTCATGGATAAGGTCCAACTTTGAATGGTCCAGCCTGGCTCTGGGGCAAGACTTCTTACCTCTAGTTTTGGTTCTCTCACCCAGAACCAATTTGCCCTGACAAACTCTATTTTCAGCACGCTAAGGTTTAACCATGAATATGACCAGCTTCTACAGTCACTGGGAGTCATTAAAGAGCAAGTTCACTGAGAAACAGTTTTCACTTGTGATTATTTTAAATAGTATCATCAGCCCGAGCTGAACATGAAAATATTCTTCTACCCCTATTTCCTGCATGAGACGCTGATAGAAAACAGACGGAGAAATGTTCGGGTTAGAAAGGCCACGCAGATCTACGTCACGCTGGAAACTAGCATTCATGGACTCACCCATCTCAACTCACGACGGGGAAGGCTGTTGTTGGTTTAGCATCCAGTAAACAGCAGGGAACGTCTCGACTAGTAGCAGCTAACCGTTAGCATTAGCGACTGCACCACACAGCAGAACTCCTCCAGACTTGTGTTACTTGTTAAAGGAACTTTACGGAATTTTGAATTTTTATACTCACGATTGCCCCCTCAGGCCAAAAGCGTAACAGCAGCTTCAATAGTAGGCTTGTGCACGAGGTGCGCATGCTGTATGTGCACACTCCTTAACGAAAATAACAGCTGAGAGAGACAGTCCTGTGTGTGTGTGTGTGTGTGTGTGTGTGTGTGTGTGTGTGTGTGTGTGTGTGTGTGTGTGTGTGTGTGTGTGTGTGTGTGTGTGTGTGTATGTGTGTCCCAGAGGACAGGAGAACACGCAGCTAATTAATTAAATAATTTGGTTCTGTACCTTTCTCTTCAGCACAGCCAACAAAGGTTTATGGTGGGTCAATCCTCCTGCATGCTCAGATCATTCCCTTCCCTTGCTTGAAAAATTGTTCCAAAATGAAAGTTGAACCCACATCTTTTTTATCTGTGAATTCAATGCCGTTCGGCAAGTCTCAAATAAAAATTTGGGTATCTTACTGTAAAAAAAATATACCATTAATGTAAAAAATAAACTAAATAAACCATGTTCACATCCAGAATCAAACCCAGGTCTTCTGCACGAGGGTCCGACGCCTTACTAGGTGAGCTATAGTAACAGTGATGCCTTTTGTATCTGTAGCTTTTATATCCTTGATGACAGCTGAAACAATGTTCAAAGAACAGTTTGGAGCGAAAATGGCTATTTTGTTGCTAATTTGCAGGAAATATCTAGAAGAAAGTTCTACAGAAAGTGGCTAAGGGTCCTCAGAAATGTAGCTAGGTTTGTCACTAGGCGTTAGGAACAGCGGCAAAGTGGCACTGCCTCACTCTCTGCTGCTAAAGCTACTGATAGCAAATGCTACGGGCTATGCCTGAGCGTGAATGCGCATGAAGCAGCCTGCTCGACCCGAGCATCTCTCTTTTTCTGTGATTTTACAGAAAAACAGGCAATCACAGTAAAAATGCCAGGGCTCATTCTACAGGACCAGGGCATTGCAGGAGAATGTATGAAGAAGACATTTATTATTTTTATACATGTTTTGGCTGTCAAACTTCCTCATAGTCCCTTTAAAACATCAACGTTGCAGAGCAAACAGTCAGAGGTAGAGTCGTGTAGCTGTTAGCCAATCTGAGGTGAGATGTCCAAATATCAGGAAATAATGAGTAAGGCTCTACCCCCCATCCTCCAGCCAACCTCTGCTTCCTGAAACAGGAGCGCCAGAGCTTTTACTCCACAGAGAATGACTCACACCGTTCATTTATACTAGAGACCACTGCAGATTTACTAAACTAACAAGTGAATGAGAGATTTAACCTGCTGTAAAAGCTGCCCCGTACATTCTAATGTCACAAACCTTGTCCAGGCAGTCCAGACTGTCCAGTCAGACCATGCAGTCCTGCTGAACCAGGATTCCCCAGCTGTCCAGCGGGTCCGTGAGATCCCTTCAGCCCCTGACACAATGAGATCATTACTGACTACTGGTTTTCATGCCAACAAGATCTTGTACAGTCTATTTGCATCCACAGTGTGTGTTGAGAATGCCTCTCAGCTACAACCACAACATAGCTCACAAACAATACCAGTGTTTATTTACCATGCTTCCTCTAGATCCTGGTTCTCCCCGGGGTCCCTGCTCCCCCTTCAGCCCTACTTCACCCCTTTGACCCCAGTCACCCTGAGCATCACAGAAAATTAGTCACCTTCTGTACACCCACAATGCTCACTGTTCATCTGCTAGTGTTTTACCTTCTCTCCAGGCATCCCAGGTAAGCCTCGCTCATGCTGAGGAGAAACACACACACACACACATTAGTAAGTTGATTATATTACAACAATGAACTGAAGAGATGGTGATGGAGAAAATGAGTTCCTCACCTTCTCTCCGCTGACTCCTCTGCTTCCCTTCACACCTTTTTCACCCTGACGAGTTTATAGAAATAAAATGTAACTCTAACCTCGAGCGGGAGGTTTAAAGTTACTGTTTAAAACCAGAAAGAAGCCTGACTGACTCACCCTGGATCCTTTGTGTCCTTTAGTGCCCTGAAAGCACAAACACAAGGAGAAGCAGTGGAGACTGAGGAAAACTATCCCTTATTCTGGTCATAAAGAAGGATGTGTAAGAAATGAACTTTCATGTAAAAGACCACATTTTACACATTTGTTGGGAGGGGGCAGATTTGGTGTTCTACTGATGGTGACGAGGAGTCTGAGGTACCTTTATCAGCCCAGGAGTGCCAATGTCTCCATAAAGGCCCCTCCAGCCTGTGCTGCCCTTCTCTCCCTGTGGACAACACATCGGTTCATTTTACCTCACGCTAGTGTGTGTGTGTGTGTGTGTGTGTGTGTGTGTGTGTGTGTGTGTGTGTGTGTGTGTGTGTGTGTGTGGGTGTGTGTGTCCAGTGATACCTTTTGACCTAGCTTCCCCATGGTGCCTTGTGATCCTGCTTCTCCTTCCAGGCCCACAATGCCAGGCTGACCCTAAAACAAACTCAGCTTCACACACAGTTTGTGGACTTTATCATCCCAAAGTGGATCATACTGTACCTGTTCTCCTCTTGGTCCTCTGCAGCCCTGCAACCACCAACACCAGGAGGTGAGCTAAAAACCCTGTTCATTGTAATATTTGTTTTGGCCAATAAAAACACCTTGTTGTGACACCAACATAAAGAATGGGTCACACCTTTTCTCCTTTGAGTCCTGTGATGTGTTCTGTGATATCAACCTGGGGATTAAAACAAAAATGAGCATGAAACAAACACAACAACATTAATAAATGAATGCATAAACATGGTCTGCCTTTTAGATTTCAGGGTTTGAGTGTCCCAGTGATCCTTGGAGTTTTATGCCGGGGAGGAGAGGGACATTAGGTCAGAGTGGGCCATGTTCCGTACTGCCATTGTTGTGGCAGCAACCCCCGAACTTGCCGGTGGACGTCGGTGGTTAGGGATGCTGTCCAGCAGAAGGAAAAGTCTTATTGGGGTTTTTTTGGCCCGTGGGACTTCAGAGGCAGCTGATAGGTACCAACAGTCCAAGCTGAATGCGGCTGGAGTGGTTGCGGAGGCATAAACCTGGGAGTGGGGGGAGGTGGGGAAGTCCATGGAGCAAGACTTCTGTATGGCTTTGAGGAGGTTCTGGTCCATCATCCCGCATCTTAGGAGGGGAAAAGCAGTGCACTACCAACACTGTTAACAGTTGGGATGGTGTGCTACTGATCTTAACTCTGAATGTCGGTGGGTGGGTGGAGTACTTGGAAAACCTCCTTAATCCCACCAGCACGCTGTGTTGGCTGATGCAGCTCTGTAATATTGTGTGGACATAAGAGGCAGTTCCCTGGTGAGGTTTTCCAGGCACGTCCACCCGGGAGGGGACCTAAAGGAAGACCCAAGACACGATTGAGGGACTATGGTTCTGGGGTGGGCAGGAAGCACCTTGGGACTCCCATGGAGGAGCTGGCCCAAGAGGCTAAGGGAAGGCCTGGGCCTCCCTGCTTAGGCTGCTGCCCCTGCAAACTGACCCTGGATAAGTGGATGAAAATGGATGGATGGATGGATGGATGGATGGATGGATGGATGTGGAATCGTCTCCCAAAAGAAATCTCACATATTAGGGGTAAAAACGTATTTACAATTAGATTAAGAGAACATTTATGTTGTATGTATTATTTTGATATTATTTATTTTATTTTTTTAAAAGGTTAATTATGTTATGATATAGTATGAAAAATAAGTGTATAATATAATGGAAGCCTTGGGATGGTAAAATTATATGTGTTGATTTGGTGGGGTGGACTGGTTTCTGTATTTTTAGTGTTTTTATATTTTATTTTATTAATTTATTTTTGTTGTCTTTTATCTATTTGATGTAAACATTGTTTTTGAAGTTGTATAAATAGGTCTCCAGGAAGGATAGCAGCAGCTTGCTGCAGCTAATGGGATTCCTAAAATAATAAACAAAAAACAATGGGTGTTATACCCATGGTAGGGCCACCCAAGACCAAAGTGCAGCCCAAAGACCCCTCATGATGATCATTACCAATGGAAACAGCCTTCTCTTGTCCAGACGAGAGTCACCAGGGCCCCACTCTAAAGCCAGGCCTGGGAGTGGGGCACATGGGTGAGCACCTGGTAGCCAGGTGGCCAAAAAGATGACCCTTCTAATGGGGTTTTGTGGGAGGAGCCAAAGGTTGCATTGTAAACTGGGCAGCAGCTAATGATGAGGACCTTGGCGATCTGACCCTTGGGTACAGAAGCTGGCTCTTGTGGCATGTAAAGTAACCTCACCAGTGAAGAAAGAGCTTTAGCTGGTGTAAGTATGGGACCTGCTTATGTTGGCATGACCGAACATGTAGACCCTCATACACACACACACACGCGCACACACACACACATACACACACACGCACGTGCACGCACATGCGCACGCACATGCACACACACACACAAGCACACACGCACACACACACACACACACGCACACACACACAAGCACACGCATACGCACACACACACATGCACGCACGCGCACGCACACATACACACACACGCACGTGCGCACACACATGCGCACGCACATGCACGCACGCACATGCACGCACACACACAAGCACACACGCACGTGCGCACACTCACACACGCACACGCATGCACACACACACACTCACACACGCACACGCATGCACACACACACACACATGCACGCACGCGCCTCTCCTCCCTGTCTTATCCCAAGGCTCTTTGTCTGTCTTTGGGTGTACGGCGCTTCTGCATTTTTTCTGGAAACTGGAAATTATTAAAATGGATCTGGTCAGCTGGTCTCTCAACGCGATTGACAACATTTTTTTCAACAATGAGAACGGGAGAAGGGGCTCCCGGATGCCCCTCTGGGATAGAGCCAGCTGGACTCCTGGAAACAGTGGAACCTGATCTGCCTATTTCAACTGTCTGTAGAGGATTCTGAAGACGTTATTCATGGTGTTGGTGTCAGGTTTCGGGCTTTTTGGCCTGAGTGGTTACCTGGCTTGCCGGAAAGTTAATGAGCTGTCGAGGAATATTGGCTCAATCCCGGGGCTCTGCACTGTGAATGCACAACCTCATATAATTGTCAAGATGAGTTGTAAGCTTGGAACTTTGGCTGGGATTCAGACTCTGGCACAGAAGGTTGATGCCATCAAGGATAGAGTTGACGGATCAGCACGGATTGGGATAGATTAATCTACACCATTACAGCGCTTTTTGATTTATTTCTGTGAAAGGCGCTATATAAATAAACTTTACTTACTTACTTACTTACTATTGGATCTAGAGGGGTTGGAGATCAACAGAACTTTAAGACAGAGAAGAAATTATCTCTGTCTGGCCCAAGGGCGTCAGTTTGTTTTCAGAATTGCTGGGGACAATAAAGTAGGCTAGCACAGGGGTCGGCAACCCGCGGCTCTGGAGCCGCATGCGGCTCTTCCATCCATCTGATGTGGCTCTCTGTACTTGTAAAATAATGAATGGGTATTTAAATAAAATGCTTTATATTTTACTGCATTAATTTTACATCTGTACGTTAATTCTAAATGTAAAGATTGTCTGCGTAAACCTGAACAGGTCCAACCTGGTCTTACTGTGAGACCGGGTTGACGGGTCACGCTTGTGCGTAATCATAGGCGCTTCCTGAGATGACGAGGATGTGAGATTCTGGGCTTCTCCTGACAGGCTCCTGGATGTGTCGCCACATTGGAGACAGGAACAAGCACTATTCAGCCAAAGTTTCATAATCAGGGAACATTTTCTAAGTGACAAGTCTCGCTTCAGTCGGAGGAATCTTCACGCATGCGCTCTGGTTCTGCAACGCGCTCCAAGCCCCTCTCCACATCTTCAGCTCGCTGTGGACCTTTTGTAGTGCACTCTGACAGCAAGCTGCGCTGAGCAGTGTCCAGCTCAGATGTTCAGATGGGAATCTTTTCTTGAGTGATTTAGCTACATCTGCGATTTAAGAAGAATAAAATGTCAGTTCGTCTGCATGCGTCAGGGTAATTCTTTCTATTCTTTCTCCGTCAAAATAAACGGTCAAACGGCCAAAACGGGAACTATCCGGTCAACACAAGCCCTGCTTTTAACTGTTCTGTTTTCTTGTGAAAATTGTTGCAAAGAGATAAAATTAAACTTGATTAACACCAGAGCCAGGCGTACTGCGCCGTTATCTCTGTCACTGTAAATGAGGGAAAAACAAATTGATCGGATCCTTTTCTGACCTTCCCCAGTTTAAACTGTTCAGAATACAAATCCAGGCTCTGTCTCGTTGGATTGGTGCAACTACTGAATGAAACTACATTAAACCATGTTGAAAAGAAAAGGATCTGATTAAATCGTTTCCCCCTCATTTACAGTCACGAAGTACAGCTTAGTATGCGTGGCTCTGGGGTGGTTACATATATTTACATTTGACTTTTATTTTGACGGATAAACTCAAGGATGTTGGTTGTTTTGAAAGAATTACCCCGACGCGCACTGATGCACACACAGATGAGCTGCTTTAATCGTTACGCACATCGCAGAGGTAACTAAATCCATCAAGAAATGATTCCCATCAGAACATCAGAGCTTTATACTGGACACTGTGTTCAGCGCGGATCGGAGTGCACACGGTGGACAGTGGGCTGAAGATCTGTAGAGGGGTTCGCAGCGCAGTGCAGAACCACGGTGCATGCGATAAGGTTTCCTCCCACTGAAGCGGTCTGGAAACCCGGTCTTTCTGAGGGATGAATCACCTGGAAAAATGTTCTTTTTATGAAATTATGAAACTTTGGCTGAACAGCGCTTGTTCCTGTCTCTAATATGGAGACGCATGACGCATCCAGTCTGAGGCAGAATAGCCTCTTAAGCTCAGAAAGCACCTGTAGAGACATTTGATCACGCACAAAGTTTATGTGGAGCAGAAGCGGTCGGGCCACGGCACGTGAAATGTTCCTAGCCTACATGAAGTGAAACTGTTTAATTGTAACATTAATATGTTACTGGACACGCTGGTCTGGTTGGTTAGACCAGTGTTTGAAGTGGAAAACACACACACACACACACACACACACACACCAATTAAAATAATGCTGATAGCGTGGACTAGAAGCCAGGTGATGGGTTACGTATTTAAATGATGATCAGGCTGCTGTAAAATGTAATCTCCATCCACATCCAGACACAATTATCCTCTATTCTGTCTCTATTTGCTCTGCTCTTGTCTGGGAAGACGTAGCTGATGGTGCGCGCGGCGCGCCTAACTAGCGGCTGATGCACATTTTACGCATTTGGAGAGGTGGGCTGGATGCTTTGCTTTTACTGAAAGATGGTCCACTTAACGCACAGTTGTAGACTACATATTAATGACAAATGAATGAAAATTAAATTGTGAGTTTTTACTTCACATTTTATAAATAAAAATGACGGGGAAAACATTTATGACATCTTTTTAAACTAAATTTTCTAGCGCGACCCGCCTGCTTCTCTTAAGTCACTGCTTATTAAGGACCGTCCAAAATTACCGTGGGAAATGGGTAATAATGGCTCTTTGATGGGAACAGGTTGCCGACCCCTGGTATAAGATCTGAGCTGGTAAAACAAAAATCCTTATCAGCAGGCTTTTTTGAAAGTGGGGGGACACAGTTGCCAATCACAAATTTTGATCCCGGCGTCCCCGGTTAAAATGACGCCTATGGTCTGGCCCCAAAACAAGTTCTTATCTGAATCTGGTGCCCTTGAGCCTGTGAGGCTGAAGCGAATACCCCACTCAGAAGAAATGTGGAATGCTGCCGTTGCCATGGCAACTCTGTCTCCTTCTCCCATTCTCATCGTTGAAGGTCGTTGAATCGGTCCAGGAGTCATTGTGCTTTCTAAGCCAATTACCTCCCTCCCCTGTTCAAACGGAGGTGACGAGCGCTGCTTATCGCGCTGCTTATCGCGGCTGCATGCACTGATGACGAGCGCTGCTTATCGCGCTGCTTATTGCGGCTGCATGCACTGATGTGTGGAGAGTCCCAAACCCTACCTCCCCACCTAGTGGACACTTATGTTGTGTAATGTCTGAAGTCTGTTGCATTTCTGTCTGAGGTGTTGTTTGCAGAGCAAAGCTGCCCTCCCTGTGGAGGGTAACTCTGAAGTGCCTTTTTTTTCCTCCACCTGACCCAATCCTCATATAAACCCTCTGATCTCTATTAAGGTAGCGCGACTCGGGTTGCGAATGACCACAGTCACCAATTCTTGTCATGTGTCTATGTATGCATGTCTAATCTCAGAATTGTGTGTACTGAAACTCTAATTTTCCTCTGGGATTAATAAAGTATCTTTGAATTGAACTGAATTTGGGCGGGTAGATGGATGTAGGGTATTAGAAACTTCTTCAGATGAGAAGTGAAACATTAAAAATTCACCTACCTTCAGTTAAAATATTAAACAAAAACTCTGGATTGCTAAATCAGAAAAAGTCCAAAGAAACTGTAGTGACTATCAAGCCCCACTTTTAGTCACCCTTGGGTGCGGGTGGAGGCAATGACTCGCTTCAACAAGGCAGAAAGCGGGTTTGGGTTTATCGTCCCATTTATTGAATATGTTGACGATCACAGTTATGCAGGGTCCAGAATGGCTATTTCTTGTCCAGGTTTATGTAAATGATGAAAATTATAACGGCAAATTAGATGTGGCATATGAAACCAAACGAAGCGGTAAAAACTGTGTGACCTCCCGTCACCCACAAAACGTTAGTGCACTGCCACCTCAACGCCTTTATAGGCTCTGCAGTGCCACCAGTGGTTAAAGGAAATACAAACCATGGTGCAATAAACTGAAATGTACATAAAACATTATCAAAATAAACTTAGACCATAATATAATCTAAACCAAAACAATATTGGCTCCTACAGAAACTTTACCATCAGTTCTGCTTTGTATCTGATTGAAGGGAACAAAGGAGGAAGAGGAGGTGGAATGAAGACTTGACATGTGGGTGCTGACCATCTGGTCCCTCTGCTCATTGGAAATCCTGCAGAAACACACCAGCAGTGATAGATCCTGTGTGAAAGCCATGTGAATGTGTGTGTTTGTGTGTGTACGTGTCTGCATGTGTGTGTGTGTGTGTGTGTGTGTGTGTGTGTGTGTGTGTGTGTGTGTGTGTGTGTGTGAACTTATGTGTTTGTGTGTGTGTTTGTGTGTGTGTGTGTGTGTGTGTGTGTGTGTGTGTGTGTGTGTGTGTGTGTGTGTGTGTGTGTGTGTACGTGTCTGCATGTGTGTGTGCGTGTGTGTGTGTGTGTGTGTGTGTGTGTGTGTACTTTCTTTTTGAACTCACTGGATGTTACAGAACAAACTGTCGGTTGAAGGCCACTGAGCAAGGCAGTCCATCCCAGAACCAGCAGTCTCAGCATGTCTCCTCCACCTGCAGAACCCAAACCAAGAAAACTAATCAAGCATCTTGTGATTTGTGAGCTTTGGGGATAAATGCTGCTCAACAGCAGACGATTAACAGTGTTGTATTGCTGAAACCTCTGATTAAAGCTAGACTGGTAATGGTAAAGGGCCTGTATTTATGTAGCACCTGCTAGAGTCCCAGATGATTCTTATTGTGCTCAATAAATGATTTCATAACTTTACAAGTTATTTACAATCATATTCTAAAGTGATTTAACAATGCCTTGACTGCTTCACAGTAATTAATGAATCCTCATTAATGTTTATTATTTCATGACTTATTTCAGATCTTATATACACCAAATTAGTCTACTTGACGATTTTAATAATGATTTATTATCAGTATGTTCACATATTAATATTATTATATTAATGAAAGACTGTTTGACATATTTACTTCCTATTAAAAGAGATAGGCCTGCTCTAAGTGTGTGAGGAAGGAGTGATGTCTGAGGTTCTTGGTAATGCCCATTTACACTTTTTAGAGTCTGATTTGTCTAATTCCATAAACAACAATTATTAAAAGAGATAGCATTTGCTCTAAAATTCAGTGCCAGCAAGCTGTACGAGTTCGGCCAAACTGGGTCAGTAAGCAGCAAAACTCCATCAGAAGAACAATTCTTCCGATGTTAAATGTCTCACCAGCAGACCTGGAGGTTACCTCTGACCAGCTGATGTAGATTCAGAGGAATACGGCCTTTGACCTCGAGAAGTCAGACTTGCTTGCAGAGAACTACTAACTAACTAACTAAAACTTTATTTAAATAGCGCCTTCACATGGCCCAAGGACCAAACAAAGCGCTGCACAGCAGAAAAAAACATGAAAAAAACCAACATATAAAACCATTTAAAAACCAACAAAAACATGTAGATAAAATCTAGGCGGGGCAGCAAAAAGTGCAAAGCCATCCTTTAACGGGACTCTTCTTGAATAAAAGCTAAAGAATAAAAGTGTGTTTTCAGCTGGCTCTTAAACTTCCCGAGTGTGGTGGCCTGTTTAACACATGCAGGTAGCTCATTCCAGAGCCTCGGCCCCAGCACCGAGAAAGCACGACCCCCTCGAGATTGTAGTCTGTGTTTACGAACGACCAGCAGTCCTTGTTGTGCTGACCGAAGGTTCCTTGCGGGAACATAAGGATGGATCAGATCCGCCAGATAACATGGAGCCAACTCATTTAAACATTTAAAAACAAACACCAGAACTTTAAACGAAATTCTAAAAGAGACTGGAAGACAGTGTAGGGATGTCAAGACAGGCGTGATGCATTCAGATCTCCTGGTACCAGTCAGTAACCTGGCTGCTGCATTTTGGACCTTCTGTAGTTTCACAGGATTGCTGAGAAGCCTCATCACTCGGGACCATACTTGCACCTGGCGTCGGATGGTTTTAGTAATTTGATCATTTGTTAATCCTAAGTAAAAATTTAGCCGGATTTATTTTACAACCCAGGCATCACAATTTTCTAAGACACTAAATCAGGTTTTAACATAACAACTAAACTCACATTCCACCCCTGCTCATTCAGTGTCTCAGCTGACATCACCTTAACTCGTCATTTATAATCATTTATTCTGCATCATTATTATTAGTAGAAATTTAGTAATAAATAGATTTTTATAAGCTGTATTTTTGTCTCTGTGTCCAATTATTATAAAGTGTTGGTTTCCTGGCATTCCCAAATGGCCTATTTTCATCATCAATCGAATATTAAAGGTTCAACAATATTGATATTCCATATTTTTATGGATTATTAGATTTTATTGAATACCTTTATATTCTGCTGCCAATTTATTAAAAGTAACCACTTACATAAAGTTACACAGAGGTGAGCCTGCCGTACACAGACAGAGATTTATGTCTTTCAACACAAGTCTGGCCTGGAATTGTGTTTTTCTGTGTTTGGAAAACCTGCAGTGATTTTCTGGGAATGCTGAACATCTTTAGGGCACGTTAGTGAAAATCACCAGCACCATTGTGTGTGCTCAGAAGTCGAACACACTGCTCTGACCTGAACATGCACACCTGTTGCCTAGAAAGCATTCATGCTAATTATGAAGAGGAGTAGCATTGTCTGTGGGACTCGTGTCAGGCAGCAGCTCCTGCTGCGTCAAAAGACTGTAGAAGGGATTGAAACTTTCTTTGATTTGCAATAGAATAGAAAAGAGTCAATGAAATGGTGCACTTGTGCACAGTTGGCAGATGCACATTAGTGTACCACTCACTCTGTAGTACGTCAAGCTGCTGTACCTCTCCACCAGAGAACATGCCTGCACTGCAAACAGCTACAAAACCTACTCTGAGTACATTAAGCCTAACATCTGAGCGACTTCAGCGATGAACTTAGACGATCATTTAAGATCGTATTCATCATTTGAACCAATTATAAGTTCAATCCAAAATAATAAATAACCTTCATTAGTAACAAAGCATCAGTCAAGCTGATTGAAACCTCTTCTGTAGGACAGTAAAAGTGTCTTCTTCAATCATAAATGGCCGTTTTAACAAATACCTAACAAATCTGGTTTTGTTTGGTTTAAAATGGTTTTTAGATGCGGTGTGTCTTACCTTCAGCTGATTCCTCTGGAAGCTCTCGTTCTGCAGAGCTGGAGCACAATCTGCAAGGCTTGCACACCGAGTCCGACTCATCCTAATGAAGTGTGGAAATGCAGCAGAGCCACTCAGCAGAAATAATCAGATAAATGACCCAAACCCTGAGCCAAAGAGGAGCTAGCTCATCAGATCATAGCATTTTGCAGCGCTATTGCGATGGACTGGCCGTCTGCCCAGGGTGTACCCTGCCTGTTTGCCCGTTGACCACTGTTGATAGACACCAGCCCCCCACGATGGATGGATATTTGTACCGTATTGACCCTATTATAAGACGACCCCGCATTTTAAAATTATTTTTAATGAAAAAAACCTCGTCTTATATTCAGGTCAATATGGTATATAAAAGCCTGCACTGTAAAAAAAAACATGTTGTTTTTACAGGAAATCCCTGGCAGCAGTGAATACCAGAGTTTTCCTGTAGATTTTACAGCTGCACAGTAAACACCTTTACTGAAGAACTGTAAATGAATACACAGTGACTGAAATCACACTAAATATCTGTTAAATCTACAAAAAGTATTTGTTAATTTTGCATATCAATTGTGTTTATAAATAAACCCTTTCTTGTATCAAAACTTATTTAGTCAGGTGACACTGCAGCCAGTCTTTTGTGCATCATGGTATGAGGTAGGACGTAGCACCTAATGACTTAGGCTGGTTGTTGGTATTTGTCCCAGCCTGGATTTCAACCCGGGTCCTCTGCATGTAAGTCAGGTGCTTTACCAGTTGAGCTATCCATTAGACATTTATCAGAGTAGTCATTTGATATTCGTCCCGACTCCCTCGTGATCCCAGCAGCACATGATAACTTCGTTTCATGATGCAATTATAAATAACGTTTTTTAACCGAAAATATTTCTGTAATCAAAATTGGCATAATTTAATCAATTGTGTACAAGCTTAAACCTGTAAAGTGACTTTCAGATCTCCGTATTTTCTAAAAGAACTGGCAAAAATGTAGTTTTTACAATATTTTTGTCGTGATGAGGAAGGACTCAAATGAGTGAACTCAGACCAAAGACTCGGAAGAAAGGAAATGAGTTTAATTCAGGGGAGATGAAGTAAAGGCGCTCCATGGAGGGAGGGGAAATAAAACAACTAGAGGTGCACCGGTGAGAGGTTCAGTCCTATTAGGAGGTTTAGAGGTCTTCCTTGTTGGGTTTGGTAGCAAGGGGGTAATCATCCAGCAGCCAGGGTGCAGATTTTCCATTTCCACATCACACAGGGTGTTTCGACCAGGCCAGTCATATACCTTGAGACTTATCAGCTTGTAAAAGTTTGTAATTAGCATGATTACCAGAAATTGCACGTTGCATATGTGACGTCACCACATAATCTCCTCTCTCCTAACGTATCTGCTGCTTACCACAAGGGCAGATTTATGGTGGTTCTCTCCTCCTGTGGGAAGTTTACTGAAATTTCAGCCCTTTTCCCAAAGTTTTCTCCGTGTCTGGTTCAATCACGTCACTTTCGTGAAACTCATTTGTAGTCCTGGACTTATTTTCACACAAAACCTAAAATAGCGTTCCCCCTGTTCGAAAGTAAGGAATGTGTGTTAACTTAGAAAATGTGGGCGCAATTTTAATTACTCGTCAACTTGTTTCTCCAACATTAAGATTGCTGCACAAAAAAAAGACTGCTGCTCGCGTGGGCCCCCTTGTGGCTGTGGGCCCCTGGGCCTGTGCCCAGTTTGCCCATATTATAATCCAGCCTTGAGGGTAGTCACAGTGCTGTTTGGTATCAGGGTGTGTATCACACTGGACATGCACCACAGAATGGGTTTGACACACGGGAGGCGACAAACGACCGCAATCAGCGAAATTTGTCGCTGTCGTTTTTATTACCTGACACACGGGAGGCGATCCGCGGCAGCGGCCAGCGGCAAAGCCGTCTACGTGTTCTGTTCCATGGTGAAATCGAAACTTCCGTTGTTTTGTTTGGCTGTGTCAGGCTGGAGGGACTTAAGGTTATTTAAGCGGTTCAGAGTTAAAAAAAGTGGTAGATATGATGTTTCACAAGGTGCTGCTAGAGTTGTGTGAAATCTTACTTCTGAATTTACTATAAAACATAATAATAATCAACTTCTCCTTCATGTTTGCTCGGAGGTGTACGGAGCATCTTGTCCGCTCATTGGTCAGTGAATGAAACCTCCGTTGATTGGTCCTCGTCCGAGCGACAGCGATTAAAAGTTGAAAATATTTCAGCTTTCTGGGATCGCGTCGCTGGGTCGCCTGTGCACGACACGTGCACGAGCGCAAAACTGTCGCTAAATGCTTGCTTTAGTATGAGGATTGCTGTAAAGACTCTGACACTAGTCAGTGACTCGATGCAACCTGCTGGGTTCCTTATATAGGAAACTTTTTACTAATTTGCTTAATGAACTGACCTGTATTGGAACGTTTACTGTGTGAAGTGACTTGAGACGACTCTGATCGTGATTTGGCGCTTTATAAATAAACTTGAAATGAATTGAATTAGATTGAATTGAAGGCTGCGCAGTGGTTAGAGCTGTTGCCTTGTAGCAAGAAGGTCCTGGGTTCGCTTCCCGGCCTGGGATCTTTCTGCATGGAGTTTGCATGTTCTCCCTGTGCATGCGTGGATTCTCTCCGGGTACTCCAGCTTCCTCCCACAGTCCAAAAACATGACTGTTAGGTTAATTGGGCTGTCTAAATTGTCCTTAGGGGTGTGTGTGTGTGTGTGTGTGTGCATGGTTGTTTGTCCTGTCCAGGGTGTGATTGCCCGTTGACTGCTGGAGATAGGCACCAGCCCCCCCCCCCCCCCCCCCCACAGCGACCCTGCGTGGACAAAGCGGGTTCAGAAAATGGATGGATGGATAGATTGAATTGAATTGAATGACAAACTGAAGAGGAGAATGGTAAAACTAATGGTAACCAAGGAAACCTAAAAGATTTGGTTAGGGTTCATCTACAGGTGCTGGTTACAAAATCAGGACAAAGTTGACTTTTGATTTTCATTCTAAAAGTGAAACTTGCAGAGGAGACAGTTTGTGAAGTTTGGAGAATGTTCATCTTCATTGTTGGACATTGTGGAGTACCACAGGGGTCTGTGCTGGGTCCCAAATTATTTTTGTTATATAATAATGATTTGAGTAATGTAACAAATACACTGACATTTGTTTTGTTTGCCGATGATACCACTATTTTCTGTGTAGGACATATATAGCGAAAACAAAATGTATGCTAGTTGGTATGGCTAATAAAACTGATGTTAAGCTGCAAATAGATGGATGTGGAATTGAGCAAGTAACAGAAAATAAGTTCCTTGGAATAATAATTAATTAAGTTGGAAACCACAAATTTTACCTGTACATAATAAGGTTGCGAGAAGCATCTACATTATGAATAAAGCTCGACAGTATTTGGATTATAGATCGCTCCATGTTCTTTATTATTCATTGATTTATCCCTCTTATTTACTGTATGGAGGTATGGGGTAACACTTATAAAACATCTATTGTACCTTTGTCTATCATACAAAAAAGAGCCTTGAGAGTCATTCACGTTCGATTTAGAGAACACACTAATCTGTTATTTATATATTGAAAAACACAAAAATGTAAAGATTTAATTCAACTATATACAGCGACGTTCATCTATAAAGTGCATAGGAAATTATAACCAAATAAATTATTAATGCTATTTATAAAACAAGATAATGTATATAATTTCAAATACAAACTTAACTTTAGGCATACATGTTTTAGAACAACATTAAAATCATTTTGTATTTCTGTTACGGGCGTAAAAGTTTGGAATAAGCTAAGTGGGGATCTAAAGCAAAGTCTCTTTGGGATTATATAAGCTACCACAGCTTCTTTCCCTTCCAGTTGAACATGTTCTATATATATATATATATATATATATATATATATATATATATATATATATATATATATATATATATATATATATAGAACGGGGATACTATGGTCCTTTAACCAGGTAGTGGTAGCTTTGGTACTGTGTGCAGGTGCCAAATCCTGTTGGGGGAAAAAAAATCTGCATCTCCTTCAAGTTGTTCAGCAGCAGCAAGCATGAAGTGCTCTAAAACAGGCTGTGTTGACCGTGGACCTCAGAAAAAACAATGGTCCAACACCCGCATGACAAACAATCACTGACTGGAAACTTTACACTGGACCTCAAGCAACATGGATTCTGTGCCTCTCCTCTCTTCCTCTAAACTCTGGGACATTGATTTGATTTCCAAAGGAAATGGAATACTTAGTTTCATCAGAGAAGATAACTTTGGAACACTGAGCAGCAGTCTAGTCCTTTTTGTCTTTAGCCCAAGTAAGATGCTTCAGATGCTGTCTCTTGTTCAAGAGTGGCCCGACACCAGGAACCCAGCTGAAACCTGTCCTGCACACATCTGCATGGTGGTTCTTGAAGCTCTGACTCTAGCTGCAGTCCACTCTTTGTGAATCTCCCCACATTGTTGAATGGGTTTAGTTTCACAGTCCTCTCCAGGGTGTGGTTAGCCTGACTGCTTGTACACTTTTTCCTACCACATCCTATCCTTCCCTTCACCTCTCTACTTATGTGCTTGAACACAGAACACTGAACAGCAGGGCTGCAACAACAAACCAATAAAATCGATAAAAATGGAAGAAATGCATCGGCAACACTGTTCATCGACTTGTGTTGTGCAACTTTGTTTCGTGTCATACACAAGTTTCACTTTTTGAATGGAATTACTGAAATGAATCAACTTTGTCCTGATATTCTCATTTTAAAACCAGCATTTGTGCACTACCCATCCATTAGAGACAAAGTGGACTTCATGGACCAAATAGAACACTGCTGGATCCTAAACCCAGACAGGACTTGCTGACGAAACACTAACCTGTGAAGAGAATGGCCTTAGGACCGATGAGACTAAACTCTCCTACCAAAATATCTCCTACCATCTTTATGCAGACGACATCCAACTGTACATCTCCTTTAAGCCCCATGAGATGTCTAAGCTGCAGCTGTTACACACCTGCTTAGACTATCAGAACCTGGACGGCTGGGAGCTTTCTTCAGCTGAATGAAGATAAGACTGAGATCATCATCTGTGCCCCAGACAAGCTGGTTCCCAAAGTCAGACTCTCTTGGTCAGCTTGCTTCTCACGCCAAACCTTCTGTCAGGAATCTTGGCATGACCTTTGACCCAGCTCTAACCCTGGGTTCTCATGTCAGTTCTCTTGTTCACTCTTCCTTCTTCCATCTCAGGAACATTGCTAAGCTGAGTCCCATTCTGTCCCGCTCTGAACTTGAGACAGTTATCCACAACTTCATGTCCTCATGCTTAGACTACTGCAACTCTCTTTTCACGTATCTGAGCAGAACCTCCCTGAACCGTCTACAGGTGGTTCAGAATGCCTGTGCTCGGCTTCTGACCAAGTCCTCCAAACACACCCACATCACCCCGCTTCTCCTCCAGCTTCACTGGCTGCCAGTCAACTTCAGGGTTCATTTCAAGATCCTGGTTCTGGTCTATAGGGCCTTACATGGACACGCACCATCTAATGGGCCATTCCCATCTGTACCAGGTCGGCCCGGGCCGGGTAGCGTAGGTTGTTTACATATCTGGGTGGCCTGGTATTTTTCCGGGCCAACCAAGGCTCATTCTCAGCCCTCTTCTCGAGGGGGTCTGCTTCAGGCCGACCAGGGCCAACACATCCACTGCTGACAGCAAATTCACACCTTCCATTAGAGCAAGCCTCTGATTGGTGGGTAGAATCAGCCCACATGGGCTTAAGGCAAGGATGTGTGGAATCAACCAGGCCAGGCTGGGGTCGAATGGGGCTACCCGGCCCGGGCCGACCCGGTACAGATGGGAATGGCCCATTACATTGGTGATCTTCTTAGTCCCTACACCCCCAGCAGGTCCCTGAGGTCCAGTGATCAAAGCCTACTGGTTGTGCAGCACCAGGCTAAAGACCAAAGGTGACAGATCATTTGCTGTTGTGGCCCCCAGACTCTGGAACTCTCTTCCCCTGAGCCTGAGATCAGTGGACTCAGTGGTCTCCTTTAAAAAGCAGCTGAAGACTCACTTGTTCATGCTGGCTTCTTCACCTCTCTCTTTATTCTGCTCTCCCCACCTATTCCACCTTACTCAGGATCCACTGATTTCCCTCTTTCCTATTCACTCTCTCTCTTTCTTAACATTTTATTCACAATTGCCTATTTTGCTAATTTTAAATATGTTTTTAAACACTTTCTAAATTATTTTTAAAATTTTTACATTTTTTGCTTTTGTGAAGCGCCTCTTGATTTTTATCTTGAGAGGCGCTATAGAAATGATACTTTCTTCTTCAACTGTAGATTTTTGGTCACATCAGCTCTAAGGACACTGGATTTACTGTGGTACATGGGAGGTCTGGTTCCTTTCTGGACCTCCTTTGCTGCATCTGGACCAGAGTCCTGAATCTGTCCGTAGTCCAATAAACTCAAGACCATCTGGAGCCAGAAGTGCTGCTCAGTCAGAAAACTGGTCCGAGTCTCAGGTCCTGGGTCCTCCGGCAGGATAAAGAACCGCAACTCACCAAGAACAGATCCGAACCAAACACCGAGCCCTGACCCAGATCCTGTTGAAACCCGTCAGACCTGAGACAGCTGGAGCCGTTGACTCAGGAGCGGACCAGGACGAGGACACCCCGACGTCTGCTTTCTACGGAAAAACTAAAACGATGGCCATGATTTAAAATCTAGATGGATTTTTTTATTGAAGTATGTATAACAAATAAAACATGCAGCACAGACCAGAATGCAGTGCTGTAGCGCTCGTGTACCACCGTTCTAAAATATAAAGCAAATCAGACATGAAGGTAAAAAATATACAACGGCCCACTGGGGGTGGGGGGTATCGACAGAAGGTGTGTATGGGCCGTCACGCAGCCTGCAGATGGAAGCAGGTCATTAAAACTCACTGTTTAAAATCCTCCAAGCATGGTGAAACTGCTCAAAGGTTTCTTCCCAACAGGTCAAGCTAAAAAATGGCTGCAAATATTCATTAAAAACGGAGAGAAGCATCCCAAAGTCGGAGCTAGACCTGTAAAACCTCCTGTCCACACAGATGAAACTAAACTCAAGTTGTCTGTGTCCCAGTGTTTCTGTCTGCTGAGCTCCTCAGTGTGCACCATCGCTGTGGTCCAGACGCGTTTGCAGTTCCACCACCACGCTCCTCATCATGCCCCCCAGCTGCTCGTGCATCTCTACGAGCTGCTGCGGCGTGCAGCAACTAAGTTCGAGCGGCGTCATCCTGCAGGTCAGAGCCTCCACGGCCGATACCAGCCTGTCAGGGTGCACGGCTTCCTCTGGTCTCTGGCCCCCCGCTGGCCCGTCAGGAGCTGCAGTGGCATCCTCGTCTGCGCTCGACTTGTCCGTGACCTCTGTGGCTGCAGAGACACAAGAGGAAGTCATCATCGTGGGCAGTTTCTTCATAAAGCACCAAATCACATCAAGAGTCGTCTCAAGGCACTTTACCAGGGCAGAGTTCAGTTTATGACTCCAAGTAGGAAACGTTTCCCATATAAGGAACCTAGCAGGTTGCATCGAGTCACTGACTCGTGTTAAGAGTCTTTACAGCAATCCTCATACTAAGCAAGCATTTAGCGACAGTGGAGAGGAAAACTCCCTTTTAACAGGAAGAAACCTCCAGAAAGTAAACCACTTCCTGCTCACAAACCTACTATGAGGAACTTATTGAGTCTACAGACCTCCCGTCTCTCCCGAGGCCTCCTCCACCTCATTCTGGTTCTCAGGAGCACTCGTCTCCTCTAGCTCAGATGTCATCATCTCCATTTCGTCAAAACTCTTCAGCTCGTCTCCTCCTCGCCCTTTCCGCTGCAGGAGCACATCTCAGAGGTTAGACACCCGTCCATGAGCTGTGTGACCACGAGCATCGGGGGCGCTGCACCTTACCTGCTGCTCGTAAATCTTCAGGGCCTTTTTGACGTTGGAAATCTTTGGGGACCGAATGGGCAGAGTCTTGATGTCGGTGGGAGTGAGAGCGCTGAGGTCACCCACCGTTTTGATGTTTCTGGAGCGAACGAGCTGCCCGAAGCCGCGAGACCTGCAGGGTGAGCCAAAGACACGGCGCTGATGAAGACAACAGAGCCAACGCGTGGTCCCTGTGCGCACGGTGCTGTTCTCACCACATGGTGGACGATAAGTGGGGCAGGACGGCTTCCACGGGGGCCGAGCAGCCCACCAGCGCAGGGTAGATGCAGTCACTGGGGACGGCTCGAGGCTCCTGGCTCAGCTCAGAGATCTGGGAGGAACAAAGCCTGCCGTTAATGTTTGACTTTATTATTCTAATTTATCCTTTCAGGGGCTAAATGTTTCAGAACCATCAGTGTTCACCCAACCATGGCGCTCACGATGCAACTTTACAGACGCAGGGCACAGGAAGAGAGCGGTGGTGCACTCTGTCCCGCTCACATGTTAGAACGTTGTGTCTCGTACGATGTAGATGCAATCAGAGTGTGTGTGTGTGTGTGTGTGGGTGGGTGTGTGTGTTCAGAGCCAGCGGGCAAAATACTTTCACAAAAATAATACAAATAGAAGAAGAAAATATAATTTCTGTAGCGCCTCTCAAGATAAAAATCACGAGGCGCTTCACAAAACAAAAAATGTAAAAATATAAAAAGAATTTAGAAAATGATTAAAAATATATTAAAATGAGCAAAAATAGGCAATTGTGATTAAAAAAATGTTAAGAGAGAGAGTGAACAGGAAAGAGGGAAATCAATGGATCCTGAGGAAGGTGGAATAGGTGGGGAGAGCAGAATAAAGAGAGAGTGGTGAAGAAGGTCATACAAAAGCCAGCTTGAACAAGTGAGTCTTCAGCTGCTTTTTAAAGGAGACCACTGAGTCCACTGATCTCAGGCTCAGGGGGAGAGAGGTCCAGAGTCTGGGGGCCACAGCAGCAGATGATCTGTCACCTTTGACCTTTAGCCTGGTGCTGCACAACCAGTAGGCTTTGATCACTGGACCTCAGGGACCTGCTGGGGGTGTAGGGACTAAGAAGATCACCAATGTAAGATGGTGCTTGTCCATGTAAGGCCCTATAGACCAGAACCAGGATCTTGAAATGAACCCTGAAGTTGACTGGCAGCCAGTGAAGCTGGAGGAGAAGCGGGGTGATGTGGCAGTGCACAATAAAATATGTTGAGTTGATTAACTAAAGAGGCCCAGAACCTCCACAAACAGGAGAAATGAACACTTCCTGTCTCACATCAAAGTTACCCGTTAAAAACACCTGATCTGGAAATCACATCCAAAGCTTCCTCCAGGTGGAGCTCTGAGGAAGCGCTGCTCCTCCTCCCACCAAAACGTGGTGGTTTGGATACCTGATCAGGATTCCTCCCAGTACTCTTACTGGGAGGAGATCCCGAGCCAGACCCAGAACCTGCTGGCCTTATTGGCCTGAGAAGGCCTTGGGATCTCCAGGAGGAGCTAGACTGATGGGTCTGAGCTTCTCTCCACTATGAATAAAACACAAACATGGAACCTGGGTACCACCAACTGGACCATGCCCGTTGTGTCGGGTCAGTTTATTGGTCCAGACTCCAACCAGAAAGGATGTGACCCAGCAACCTGCTGAAGGTGGTTCTCAGCACCACCTGGAGTCTTCTGCTCCAGAGTTAAGCTCAGATGGTTCTACATCACTAGATAACGTACCAGAGACTTCTTGGAGCTCCTGTAGCCGGGGCTGTGCAGAGTTCGTGGGCTCAGGACCACCACGCCCTTCGTTGGAGTGGTGATTTGCTGGAAAAGGCAGAAATCTGTTGAACGTGTTTGTTTGACTGGGAGTGCAGAGCACAGCGGGCTGCACGCACTACCTTCAGCTGTGGTATGCCGCTGACTCTGGACCTTCTGGGGGAGCTGGTTCTGACTGCAGGGCTGCGCCGATCGATGTCATCAGCCGTCTCCTGCTGCTGGATGGGATTAGCGAAGGAGACCCGTCTGGACTGCTGAGGAAAACCAGAGATTAGAAGTGAAACCAACAGAAGATCCACGGTCCTGTACAGCTGGAGTTGTGTTGCACCTTAACGAGAGGGGAGGTCACCTCCTCCACCAAAGACCTCCTCTGGCCCTTTTTCAGAATACTGGTAGAGGGGGAAGCTGATGGAGACCACGTCACTCTGCCTTGTCCATTGCTGGGACTCGAGTCTGCTCCGGTTTCCTGGTCCTTCTGTTTGGATGGAGAGTTCTTGATGCCTCTGACACCTCCTTCTGAGGAGCCTGAGGTGTCAGAATCTAACCGTCCTGTCTCCGCTCCACTGTCTCGGTCCTCCTCAGTGTGGGCATCTGAAGTATGCTCCGAGGACTGCTCCTCCTGGCCCTGCGTTTGGTCATCTTGAACTGGTTCCACCCCTGCAGGTTTGTGGTGCACCGACTCCTCCATCAGATTCTCTGAAGTCACCTCAGACAGGTCTGCTGGCGTCTCATCAGGAGGGACAGCGTCCTCATGTTCCCGCATGTCCACTTCCTGAGAGGGAGCACCAACATCATCCCCTGCAGACGTGCTGCTCTGTTTCAGGTCTTCAGTTTCAGGTTCCTTCTGAGCCGTCTCCTCCTCCATCAGCTCTTCTACGTTCTCCTCAGTCTGCTGTGATTCGCGTAAATCTGGAGTTTGTAATTCTTCTACTTTAGCTTCTGAACTCAGAGAAACGCAGACCTGTTCCAAAGCAGCTTCTTCCTCCTTCAACTCAGGTGTAGGAGGATTCTGCAGAGACGCTCTGGGCTTTCTGGACTTCTTTAGAAGAACAGGCGAGTTCTCCTGGAGCGGGGAGGACTCTGAACTGGCCTCTGGTGCAGGTAAAGACCTCTTTTTTGAATACCTAGCCCTGCTTTGGGAAGACTCGGACTCAGAAGACTGTGACGACTGACGTCTGCTGGCGACGAAGCCAGGACTGAACTCTAACATCTTCCTTCTTCTGGTCTTTCCTTTGGCATGACTGGTGGGTGTGGAGCTCTGCCAACTCCTCAGTTGTCTCACTGAGACGTCGCTGTCCCCTTTGTTCCCAGAGTCTGCTGCTTCAGAGGACTTTACCCGTCTGGATCTTCGTTTGGACTGACCACTGAGAGACGAAGGTGTGACCTGAGAGTCGTCTTGACTCATGACCTGAGAGTCGTCTTGACTCATGACCTGAGAGTCCTCTTGACTCATGACCTGAGAGTCCTCTTGACTCAGGTCTTCTCCTACAGAATCTTCCGTCTGGGGTTCATCTTTAATCATCTCCTCACTTACTGACGTGTTTGGTGTTCGGTCGAGGGACTGATCAGTGGCGGTGTCTTCCTGTGCACCGGACTCTGTGGCGGTCCTCTCTACCAGTTGGATCTTCATGTCCGTCTCTGGACCTCCATCCTGTTTGTTACTAAACTCTACAGAGTCCTCTACAACAGCCTGGCCGGACCCACCTCTGACCTTCTTAACCTCCGTCTCCTTTGGTGACTTGCTCGGCCGGCCACGTCTTTTTCGGCCTTCAAATCTAGAGAGTGTTTCTGATTGGACGTCACTCTGATTGGACTCTAAGCTCCTCTTGTGTTCAGGATAATCCAGGAAGTCTGCGGAGTTACTGTAGAGTCGGATCTTCTTTCGAGGTCTACCCAGAGAGCTGGGCTGGCTCAGTTCTCCGGAGGTTCTGAGAGTCCGTGATCGCAGCCGGTCTCTGGGGCTGTTCTCCTCGGCAACCTGTCTACTCCTGGTATTTGGTCCCCTGGGTGATATTTTAGGAGATTCCTTTTTCAGATCTTCTCCAGACTCTTTGGGTTTGACCTTTGCCTCTCGTTCCACCGGATCTTCTCCAGGGAGCTGCGGTCTGACTCTGTGGCGTCCGGATCTCCTCGGCTCCTCTGAAGGTGAGTGAGAAGCCTCTGGTGAGGGTGTGTGCTCCTGGATGGAGGGTTCGGGTTCTTCCATCGGAGTTGTGCCATCCTGACCTTCAGCCTGTGTGTCAGGGATAACATCCTCATCCTCAGCGGAGTCTCTTTGCAGTCTCACAGGCTCACTCTCTGTCCTGGAGTCTTTAGGCCTCTGAGGAGACTCGCCCAGCAGGACCTGAGGACTAGACTCTATATGAGCCGAGTCCTGGGGGGCCTCACTGGCCAGCGTGTTGGTGGTGCTGGAGTGGTCCGGGCTGCTAGAGGTCTTAACTAGAGGACCGGTGAAGGAGGACACACTGCTGGGGCTGGCAGGTTTCCCCTCGCCATACTTCTCCAGAGTGATGAACGACTGCCGCCGACTGCTGGACTTCTGAGGAGTCCCTGAAACCAAATCTGAAGAAGCGGATGTGTTTGGACTCGCTTTATCGTCTGCGTCGCCATCGTCCACCCCCCCGCCACCTCCTGGCGTGTGTGAGGAGTCTGGGATGATGTCCTCCTGCAGCTGGATCTCCATCGCTCCACCAGTCGTAGGGCTTGCATCGTCTTGGGTCTCCTTTGTTAGAGCGTCATTCATCTGTTGGTCTTTGTGAGGAACCTGAGGAGACCAAGGTGAGACCTGTCAGCTGATGTGGCGGTAAAACACAGAACATCCGTGTCTCTACAGCAGGTGTGCGCCGTTACCTCCTCTTTAGCAGTGCTGCTCTCCGGTTCAGCCACAACACTGTTGTCCCTGTAAGAGCGTCAGAGGTGAAACGAAAGCTTTTCACTCACAACGGAGGAATTTACCGAGATCTCCGTCTGAACTCACGAGTCCTCCTGGCTCTGGGTGTACCGAGTAAAGACGCTCGTGTCCTGAGACGCATCCAGGTTGTTGTACATGGCAGGAATGTCCACCCTGTCGCACAAGTCAGAACAATAAAGGTGAGTGCGTGCGTGTGCGTGTGTGTGTGCGTGCGTGAGTGTGTGTTTAATCTGACCTTTTGGTCCTCTTCATCTCTTTCTGGTGCTCCGTCAGCACCCGCTCTTTGGTCTCAGGGGGAATGAAGACAAAATCGACTGAATCTTCTTCTTCCAGGAGCGACGGTCTGTGTGGAGGTTTGGGAGAACCAAAGTCCAGTTTAGTCTGCAGAGAAGAGAGACACCACGAGCTGTCAGATTCCCAGATCAGCGTGCCAACACATCCGGGAACAAGCGGGATCCCCCCAGGAGTCCCGGCATCTCGCTACAGCGATCCCAATACCAGCACCGTTTCCACGCCGGCGCTTCACCAAACTTCACACAAGGCAACTGCTGTTGGGTTACGTGCAACCTGAGCCCCCCCCGAGGCGAGTTTAAACGTACAGAAACGGATTTGGACGTTCTGGTGGAGATCTGGCTCTCTTGCTCTGCAGCCTTGCCCAGAAGAGAATCTCTTTTTCTCGTGGAAGAAATGGGCACCCCGCTGAGTTTGGTCTCCATCTGAGAGTTTTCACTCTGAAAAAGGACCCAGGAATACAATTCAGACTCAAACTGGAGTCTAAACATGAAGGTAAGGGAAGCACCTTTAAAGAAACTCACCGAGTAAGATCCACTGAGCTCCTCTGGAACGCCAACGGCCTCAAAGCCAGGGAGGATGATGGGAGTCTTCTGCTTCACCTGGCTCAGGACCGGCCTGTGTGACAGGAACACCATGACTCTTTCTGCAGCTGTAAACTCATCTACATCACATCTGGCAGGACCAGAACGCAGATACTTCACCTGATTTCCTCTGGGTACGTCAGGCTGAGGCAGGAGGCGAAGGTGGCGTTCCAGAACTGAGTGACCAACAGGCGTAGGTGTTTGTTCTTGTGAGGAAACAGCACACAGAGCAGAGGCGACAGCAGGGCCAGCAGCTCATCGCTGAAGGCTAACGCAGCGCGGGTCTGCAGGCAGCTAAGGACTTCACCCAGAAGCTTCTCCAGCTGTAGAAGGAAAATGATTTGCTTTTAATGCGTGGACAGACTCCTGATGTCTGTGCTCCATGGTTCAGAAAGAGCTGACCTTCTCCAGAACACGAGGGGTGAACTTGGGAGGTTCGCTGGCAGCTTGTTTGTAGAACAGGACGAGGGTCTCCATCAGGAGGCTCAGCGTCTCCTGGACAGCGTTGGTGAGGACCAGGTTGGTGAAGAGGGCCGACAGGATGGAAACCAGGGCCAAGCCAGTGGGCTCAGAGGACGGGTCTGGGGAGTGGAGGTACACCTGCAGACACTCCACCAGCAGGGTCAGGAAGGTAGACAGGTTCCTCAGGGCTTTGCTCTGCTTCCGCACCCAGTTCACAGGAGTGTGAGGGGCTGGAAAACAAACGACCCCGTCAGCGGCAGGAACTCTACAAACAGCAGCTGAAGTCGATCTGAGCTCTTACACTTCAGCTTTTGTTGAAAGTGAGGAGTGTACGGGGAGAAGTCCACACACTCCACCATGACATGCAGGATACTGGCAACAGCGCTCAAAGCTGCAGGAACCTGCAGGAAGACCACATAAGGAGTTTGCTTAAAGCACAAACTAACGAGGACCTATGAGAGCCGCTCAGCCAACGCACCGCCAACACCTCTCGGTCCACCACGGCGGCCATCTTTGAACAAAACTCCTCACAGCAGACGTTCTCCTCGGCCGTGGCCACCAGAGCGGAGCAGCGAGCAAAAACCTTGTACAGCTTGGCCCACGAGGACAGCATCGACCTCTGGGCTGCCTGAACCAAACACAGCAGCCGGATCAGCAGAGCAGCAGCAAACACCAATGACGGCGAGATCAGATCTAAAACCGGACCTGTGGGAGCGGCGGTCCACAGAGGAGGTGCTGGACCGGAAACATCAGAGCAGAATGCACGGTGCTGAAGTTGTGCTCCAGAGCATCGCCTTGGTTTACCTCATTAGACTGGAAACATGGAAATGGATTGCATCAGATGAAGTAAACGCCCCCCAGGTAACGCCCAGACCCGCCCCGCCTACCTGTGTGATGCTGTCGGTCAGCGGGCCGACGATAACGGCCCACAATCTCCACAGCTGCTCCTTGTTCTGCAGGGACCCGGCGCTGTGCCCGATGGCGCCTAGCACCGTCTCTGTAAATGCCAGAGGGGAGGTAGGACCCGACAGGCCACAGGACACCAGCAGCTGCAGGCAGCGAAAGAACCTGCGGAACAATGAGACGGTTACGGACCAATACAGCGGCCGGATTATTAGCAACACAAACGCCAGACCCACTTCTCGTCCTCTATGACGGTCGGCAGCAGGTGGCTGTCGAGGAGGAGGAGGATGAGGAAGAGAGACGGAGTACCCTGATGATGAAACAAGGCAGAGCTTAGTCTGAGCACCAATGTGCAAAAGAGAAACAGGAAGTACTCACGTTTAGCACGTCCATCTTGCCCACTTGGTAGGAAGGAGAGCCCAGAACTTTCTGTGGGATGCCCGTCACTGTGGCCTCAAACAGAACCTGCACCGGTCCAGCAGATCAGTCGCGTTAGTAACTGTAAGTAACCCTCACACAGCAGCATGAAAAACAGGCAGGAGCTTAAGTTTGAACTAGAGCTGCATTTGAGCGATGACATCACAGCGTGCGTGTGCTCAACACTCACGCTGTGATGTCTCGGCGTGTTCTGAACACCATTGGGTTTGTCGTCAACCAGGTGGCGCGAGTGCAGCGGTGCTCGTTTCGTTAAAGACATTTTTTCTTTTTCAGGACTTTTTTTGCACAAAAACGAAACAGAAACCTAAATTTATCCCGCAAGTTTCGACAAAAATCCAATCAGAGTCCAGAGCCGGCTACTGGTAACCGCAGACATCATACAATGCTAACTAAACTACTTGGCAACGCGTGCGACCGAGGAGCAGAGGAGGTCCTGGAGGTTCTCGCAGGTGTGGAACAGAACATGGACTGGAATCGGATTCATGCGGTTTATCTGTCGCTCCACAGAGTCCCACATCCCAGCACGGCTCCAGGCGGAGCACCTGTCATGCGCTCCAACGCCTTTAGAGAGCACGCTCTGACAAAAACTTCCATCTTCAATCCAGCGCATCGCAAACACAATCACCAGACTTTCACAAGGACTAGGGCTGCACAACATATCGCAAATATATCGATATCAGCAGGCACGATATGCATGTCGCAAAGAACAGATAAATATCGTAATGAATGGTTAGCTTAAATGTTTGCTACACATGATTAATTCTGTCCATCAAACAGAACCATGATGTTTTTTAACAAATCAAATAGAGCTCTTCACCCATTTGGCCAATCGGGTGGGTTCTCATAGGTTAGACGCCCGCCCCCGAGGCGGACGGCACTTCATTTAGATGGTTAGCAAACACCTGAGTTAGCTTCGTTAGCTCTTTTAGCTGATTCTGCTCTTCCCAGGATCCACGAATCGCCTTTCCTTGTTCATTTTATTTTTCCCTTTCCTCACATTTTTAGCTTTTCTCATTTTTATGATTTTTAAATTTTTTTGTTTTTGATTATTTTTGTTCCCGAGTTAAGTTTTTATTTATCGCAAGTAGTATCGTCATCGCAATATTAATCACTGTTATCGAATATCGCAGGTTTTCTTAATGTGCTGCCCTAACAAGGACTAAAATGTAATGAAATACATTTTAAATAATATTAACTAAATAAAAAGATTAAAACATCATAAAAATGGGAAGACTAACTATTGTGACTACATGTAACACGACATCGGGTTCCGGTCGGGTGTTTTAGCACCAGAAGAATGACTCCATGGGTAAAATCGTTAGTGGATCTACACGAGTGCAGCATACCAGGGTCGTCCCGGCATCACGCAGCTCTAGTTCAGCTAACCCAGACGGCTCCGTGGCATCAGGAACTTACCAGGACTTTGTCTGCAGGCAGAGCCCGTGAAGCTACGATGTTCTGCAGCGCCTGAAGCATCAGCGTCAGCACCTCACAGCCCTGGCGATCCTTCTTACTGCCTACTCACAGAACCACAACACAGACTTGGTTTAGAACCCAGCAGGAGCCACTCTGGTGAGTTTGGTTTGAAAGACGAGTCATCACTGGGGACACGCCCCCTCAGTCTTTCATCTCATCACAGCGGCCCCGGCCACAAAGAACTGAGGCTCAGACCTAAACTGATGATAGAGCTGGGAGTGGGCGGGACAGAAGATGAGGACGGGGTCTCGCTAGTCCTCCCTATGAGAGACCAAGTCCTCAACCCAATCAGAGTGCTCTATGTGGAGCTGCTGGGCTAGACCCACAACTCGAGACCTGCCCACAGAGCAGCAGCCACAAAGTCTGCCTTCACCCAAACTCTATTTAACCCATGATGCATTTCATCACATCACACCCTCACTGGCCCTGGGACGGGCTACTACTTATCTGTAGTTCGTCTCTTACCAGTCTCTATGGCCATGCTGACAAACCGGACCAGACTAGTCCAGATGACGGCTAACAGGGGCTCTGCAGACAGACGTGAGACAGTAATGTTTATGTTAATTTTATTTAAGAACAATAATCATCATCATCGAACTTCTATAGAGCTTGTTTAGGACGCTTCCATGAACTCTCACATTCACACACTGCTAGTGATGGTAAGCTACTTTGTAGCCACAGTTGCCCTGGGGCGGAGGCGAGGCAGCCATTTGGCGCCGTCGACCCCTCCGACCACCACCAGCTCAGAACGCTTCAACTGAAACAAGGTTCTACGAGAGCGTTTACCTGGAGCTTCTTTGCCAGAGTTGATGAATCCATCTTTGATGCTGGAGACGAGCACGGCGGCGTGTTTCATAAAGGAGGAAGCACCGGTCAGCAGCGGGTGGTGTAAGGGCTCTGGAACAAGGAGCAGGAGGCCAGTTCAGGCCCACCAGTAGCCAATGAGACGATTAAAATCTCTGAGCTAGTTTCACTTTTCCCTTCAGCAACAATCAGCCAGGTAAGGTTTAGGAACAACAGCTGATTGGCTCTCACCCCAAGTCAGTCATATCCACGCGTGTAATACACACAGTTGTCTTAACGTCGCACCTCTCCGACTCAAACACGCCATTAGTAACCACATCAATCACAAACACTGCTAGCTGGCGTTTACACATCCTGCTGGGTTTGTTCACAAACAGCTGATGTGTGGCTCTGACTCACCCAGGCTCAGAACTAGCTTGTTCTTTGCTGCAACAGCAATGACCTCCGGACCCAGGAAGTAGTGGAGCAGCATCTCCAGGCCCAGCAGCTGGATGGAGGAGAAGTTGGTGGAACTCTGCATGCTGGAGTTCAGGCTGAACCAAGGGGACCTGGCTGGGCTGTTGAAGCTGGAGCTTCCTGCTGCAGACAGAACCAATCAGCACCATCAGGGTTTCAGGTGTTCGGGGGTCTGCTCGTTCAGCACAAACACGGACCCTACCAGACTTTGGCGTGCTGGGTACGATGGCTCCATTTTGAGCGGCTGCACGAGAAGGTGTGCCAGGAACAGCGGAGGGGTCAGAGCCAATGGTGGACTGAAGTAGAGGCGCGGAAACCTGTGGAAAAGCAAACACCACTCAGTCCCTACACACGGCTCAGAGTTCGGAAACCAGAATGAAACAACCCAAGTGAGGCTGACCTGATCAAAGTTAGAGGACAGGTTGGGTCCCAGCTGCACCACCAGGTACCACCACACCTCCACCTTAGTGAGCAGCAGGGCTTCCGTCCTGACTTGGATGGACAGGAGTGGCTGCATGAGGAGCTTCATGCGCTTGGCACTGCACAGAATATCTGGAAGAGTCCCAAACTTTACTTCCATGCTTGAAGAGCTGAAGAGTTCAGATGAGTGAAGAAGGGACGACTGAGCTCACCTGGATTAAGAGCAAAGTTATCGATGAGGCTCTTCCAGGCGATGAAGGCAATCTTCTTAATGGTGGGAGAGGAGCTGCGGAAACCCAGCTCCTCTAGATACAGCAGAGCGTTGATGAACGGACCTCCTCTGTGCAGAAGCTGTCCAGGAAACGTGTGACCCGGTGAGTTTACCCATCTGTCTACAGATGTGTGGAGACAACATGTCAACCCCTCACCTTCCCAAGCAGCTTGACAAACAACGACCAGAGCTTCAGCACGTTTGTTTCATTCTTGGAGGTGAAAAGCTTCTGCAGCTCCGGGATCAGTTTCTGTGGGGTGAAACGCAGCCTGGTGTCAGAGCTGACCTTTGACCTGTCCGCACAACAAGCCGGAGTGAGAAAGGACCAAACTCACGGAGCACATCATTGGTTCGATGACAGCAGCCACCTCCGTCTGCTTGGCCAGGAGCAGAGGCATGCCCATCTCCAAGGCCGAAGCAGCGCGCAGACGCACCTTGGAGGCAGAGTGCACCACCAAAGGGACCACCAGCTTCACCCACTGCACCGCCCTGTCACCCATCTGGGTCGGGACCTGATCCAGCATCCTGTGAGCAGCAGACCCACGCCAGCGTCACGCTAAGATGCTTAAACACTAAATGACTTTCAGGTAGGAGCCAGATTTCACCTGATGATGACGTTGAGGGCTTCATGCTCCATCACCACCGACTGAAGGTCCTCCCTGCTCCACACGCTCTCCAGAGAACTCAGCACCGACGACACCTGCAGAACACAAGCAGCAGGGGTCAACGGCACCTCAGCACCACTGAAGCAGATCTCCCGACTGTCGCGCATCCGATCCTCCTCACATGTTTGGCGACTACATCTGCAGGGAAGTTCTGCTTGGAGATGACCCATAATGCTCTGGTGCAAGTGTTCTTATCAGTTGATTTAGTCACAAGGGAACAAAGTGCCGACAGTATCTGTGCTGCAAACGTCTCTGTGGAGAGAAGGAACGGAGACTGAGCAGGGACCCCCAGGTCGGCGCTGACGTCTGGTGGACAGCAGCACCTACCAGAGACTCCAGCGACGACGTGGGAGTGGTACACACAAAACCCTAAAGCCTGTAGCGCGGCCTGGCTCAGTTCGGCATTGGGACTGGTCATGTGGTCCTGGAGACAAACAAGATTGCACGTTAGGCTTCGCCCTAGCCCTCTCCAACACTTTCCAGAAATCACACACAAGTGAAGTCAGAGAACCTTTGAGCTCGTCGAGCTGGAAACTGACTTTAACTGATGGTTTAATAAGTTTGTGGTTTATAAACTTAGAAAGCTCCACGGCCCCTAAAGGCACGTTTCCAACATCGGAACGTCAGGGTAATTTTACCGGAAAGGACCAAACTCACGGAGCATGCCGGAACTTCCCAGCATGCTCCTGCAGCGGGCCAACAGAGGAACATTTTCAGGAACCAGAAGAGCACCGGAGCTGAGGTAGGTCCTCTGAATCAGTGTTGGGAACGTTACTTTAAAAAAGTAATTAGTTATAGTTACTAATTACTTTGTCAAAAAAGGAATTCAGTTACTGAGTTACAAGATTATAAAAGTAACTAAATACCAAGAAAAATAACTACTTAGTTACTTTTTTCATTAAAGCATGCAAGAATTACTACAATAGTGAAATATAAATGACTAATGACTGGAACATAATAAAATGTATGTCCAAATGTTTTTATAAACCTGAATAATATAAATAAATAAGCACTTAACAGGAGGAACTACTAACAGGAACATTACACTTATCTAGACTATTAAAAGGTCACTGTGTGATATTTAACAAGACCCCAATCAGCTAAAATTTAAAATTGCAAATAGAAACACCTGTAAAGGTTCCTGAGCCTTTAAATGGTCTATCAGTCTAGTTAAATTACAGAAATTAATGTAATTTTGTACAGTATTCTAATTTTTCCAGCTTCACATAATTGTGTGTTTTTAGCAGCATTTCTGTTGATGGTAATCTAGTAATGGTTAAAAAAATAAATAAAATCCTTTAAAATGACACTAGAAGAGGCACAAGCCTGATGGAGGACTTACATTTACTAACGTGGGTCAGACCCAACCACAGAAGAGCTGAAGCTGGATGGTAAACACACACAGGTAGTTCTGATAACACCTGAGTTCCATGACGTGTGAGACTGATGCATCAGTGCTACAGCGGGACTAAAGACATGATCAGGAACAGGTTACAGCTGGATGATCTAGGAAGGTAGAAGATCAGGACGTCTGAGTGGTGAACAGGTGAGCGGACCTTCGGGACGTCCCGCTGTCACGCTAAGAAGGGCACGGCTGCAGATCCACACCTGCAGTCGTAGACTATTCATCACGTCTTCCTCGTTCTTCACGGCCGTGATGCTCTTGGATGAAAACATCTGCCTCTTTAGCTCCTGATCAGCTGATGACAGCTTCAACACACCGCGCTGCTTAACGCACGCATTTCCTTATCAGTAACAGAAACGATGTTTTGATAAAAGAAGACGGTAATTAATTAGTTTGCTCGTTACAGAAAAAATTAACGCGGTTATTTTAAACGGCGTTATTCCCATCACTGCTCGGAATGACCTGGTAGTCCCTGAGCAGAACTGTAACTCGTAAGAAAACGACATCACCCAAAACAAGCGGCATCAGTAAAACTGGAAGAGTTTCTGGTGAAGCAGAATAAAAGGAAAACACGAGCAGTATTCACGTTGAAAATGCAGCGGCACGTTAGTACGGAGCAGGGGCGGTTCTAGACCAAATTTTCCAGGGGGGCCACAGTGGGGCCAGTATTTTTTCATGGGGGCGCAAGAAAAAAAAATCATAATTAAAGACAATGAACAAGTAAACTATTACAGCAAATGCAGTAATGGTTTACTTGTGAAAGTAAAACTGGCATGTTTTTATGGTACTCAGAAAACAATTCTGAATGCTTCACCGCAACATGAGACTTGAGTAAAAAAAAATAATTCTAGTTGATTATTATAGTTTGTGACTTTATTTGAAGATTATATGAACTGTACATATGAAAAATAAACATTCAAACAAATAAAATATCTGCACAATACAATTTGTTTTTTGTAGTCAACACACACACACACACACACACACACACACACACACACACACACACACACACACACACACACACACACACACACACACACACACACACACACACACACACACACACACACACACACACACACACACACACACACACACACACACACACACACACACACACGTAAGCATAATCACTTCACCAATTGTTTTGATATACTCACGATTTTCTTTAACCTTTTTACTGAGTTCCTTGTCGAGTATATTAGCCAATGTTGTATTAGCTTTCACAGCCCTCTGGTAGTCCCTCCACACTATCATTGAATCCTTATGCCTTTCAGACTTTGCATGTACTGAAAACCCCCCTCCTCTCTCAGTTGCTTTTTTCCAGTTCCTAAATCCACATGGTGAGTCAAACACACTTCCTGCACTACTTGGTGAGCTAAAATGTCTGCATGCATGACAATAAGTAGAGTCCATAGTAACAGAATATTCAACCCAAGGATGGCTTTCATACCAGCTTGGCTGAAAGCTTCTGTCTCCTATTAATGTCACTGGAAATGTCCTCAAATGATGCTGAGTAGGTGGGTCATCCTTACACTTGCTGATATCTGAAAAAAATAAATGTTAGCATGAGGATAAAAGTCATAATTAGTTAATTCAGAGTCTTATTTTATCTATTTATTAAATATAAACAACAGAAATGTTGGTCCAGAGTCAGCATGCCTCAAATGCACACAATATGAGCTGCAAACACAGAGGGGGTTGTTCAACACCCACAAACCTGACGGTAGTGTACACGGTGCACGACAGAAGATGTCCCTCTTTTTGCTCCTCACTCTCTCCCTCACAGCCTACATCTTCCTCCTCACTCTCAGGGTGGACAGTCTCTGACCTCTCTGGTTCCTCTCCAACCATCTCCTCCTTCTCTCTTTCATCCTGCTTCTTAGCTCCCTCGTGACTTTCATCCTCTCTCTGTCTACGCTGTTCTTTATTAACAGCGGTAAAAAAAGGACAAAACGTCCCGCTGATGCTTCCAGTCAGTGCTGCGAGAAAGTCATAGATAAATGAATACTGTGATCTAATCTCAACGTGTCTAAGGCTTAAAATGCAGCAACTTCATGTTTATTTTACAGTTAATGTTACAAAGGAAAAACAAATCAGTGTTAACTGTGGATAGACTCAGTTAGGAACTTAAAAGTAAACGACCGAAACGCGCGACTACGATCAAAACACTGATGTCAGGAAAATAAACTATTGCTTACCTTCGTCTCTTAGCGTCTTTTCCGTTTGGCGTCCTCAAGAACTTCTTCGGGTTCCATTTAAACTATTTTTAATCTTTTATTCAAAAATCCACCGGGTAAACAGTTCTGTCCACAGAGTGTGCTGCGCTCTAAAGGCTCCGTGTGAAACGCTGCAGCGCATTAGTTCCCGTCTCCGAGGCAGCGCGCGAAAAAAAAAATCGGATCTCTTCAGCACAGGGGCCATAACAGGGGCCAGGGCCGGTTCTACAGGGGCCCAGGCCCCTGTGGGCCCCCGTTTAAAACCGCCATTGGTACGGAGACAACAGCTGAGAGGACAGTCGTCTCATCTCCTGCCCAAAATGTCCCGGAACCCCTGGAAACACAGCTCAAACTTACCAGTAACACTTTACACAGACGACTAAAGTTCTTCTCAACTGTTGGCAGAAACTGGCGGCCTTCTTCTCCACCGAGCCGACTGAAAACCAAAAAGACGTTATTCTACCCGCTCAGGCCTCGGGAGTCGTCTCTGTGCTGTAGAGGACCAGAACTGGGGGCTTACATGGCGATGGTGAGGTAGGCATCCGTCTGCTCCGACTGTCCAGCGCTGCTGTCCTCCAGAATCTCCAACAGAGGCAGGAAGCTGGAGAAAGTGGAGGGCCCTGCCGTCGCCATCATTATGACCCACCTCTTCTAAAGCTTTGACACAAGAGGACAAAGTCAGCAGATAGAAAAGGGTTTGGACCCAGCAGATGAGCATCAGACTGACGGATCACAAATATGTCTGAAACACCGAAGGGCACCCGGTGACGCTTGAACCACTGGGTCCTTTAGACGAGGAGGAGCGACTCTGCTCCCACCTCCTTCTGAATAATATAAACAAACCAGTAAACGGTCTGTGTGGTTCTACTGGAGCCCACCCTGCTGAACACGTGACCCAACAGGTGTGCAGCTCATAAGGTGGCTGACGTCTTGGGTAGTCATTAAGCATTGCTGGTTCTTATCCAGACAGAACTAAGGAACTGGTGAAGTTTCTGGCTTTGTCACACATATTACCTTACAAGGGCACAGACGTCGCTGCTAACGGAACAGAACACGTTCAGCAGATCTTTGCAGATGAATGCATCTAAACATGAAGGTAAACGGAGGAGTCGCTGCTCCAGGCAGCTGCAGAAGTAGAAAAGTGCGGGTCCAGAATGTAAACATTGATCTGGACTCTACAGCTGGACAACAGAACCCAACGAATGAGCCGACGGAACTAGCGAACTACTCGCTAACTAGCTCCCACACGTTAGCTTCGCTAGCAGGCGGCATGCGGAGTTCAGCGAGCAGAACCTGCAGACACCGAGCCGGGCTGCTGGTCCCAGTCCCACCTCACCTGTCCGCAGACAGGAGCCTCTCAGCGGCACAAACACGTCTACACTCACCTGCGTGACACGAGCCGAGCCGCTTCCCCCCTGGCTACCACACCGCCTTCTACCCTCCAAGTTTATCTGACGGGAAACGGGGCACAATCGAGCGGAAAAGGGCTCAACTCTTACCGCGGTTCACTTCACCGACCGCTGCCCCCACTGCGGGCCCCTGGTGCTCCGGAGGCAGCCTCCAACTTCGTATTTTTTCTCGGTTCTTCGGCGGCGCCTTTCCACGCAGCGTTTACCCCGCGAAATCTGCTGGCGCCAAATGATCACGCAGACGTACGAAATTACCTTTGACCCCGTTACGTCACTTCAAGGACCTCCTTCCTTAATTATCAAGACAAAACAATGGTTGGAAAGTCGTTTTAACATTTAGCAGCCAGACAGACTTCAGTTATGAACGTTTCATACGAAGTTTTTTCTGGGTCAAACGACTACCGCAGCGGTAGTTTGTTGTGCTCTTCTACTTTATTTTATTCACTTATTTTATTCGATTTTTAGAAATTCTCTATCCAGTGGCGTAGCAAGTTTGAGCTGGGCTCCGGGGCAACTGTTGCTTTAGCCTCCCCAACAAAGAAAAAAGCTCAAGGAATCAAAAAACCAAACACTGTTGTGAAAAGAGTGGCGATCACATATAGATCTTATTCTGATAAAAGTCTAGTGCTTTTTCTTAGGTTATTGAATTTTAATGATGTTGTTTCTAATTTAACTAATGAAATATGTGCTTTAAAAACAAACAAAATCATCACTAAAATATCATCAATAAATAGGAACTCAACGATCTCATTCTCTAAATTTCAGAAACATGTACAACCATGAACCAGGCGCTGCTTAAAACAGAAAACACTAAATATTCAAAATTTATAAACTTCCAATGAAAATGTTGGATGTTTATTTTGTATTTGCTAATAATAATATTAATAAATAATATTAAACAACTATTGTTATGGACTTTTTGTGTAAAATTGTCAACATTCTTATTTTAATGTATTTTTATCTAAGTACTATTTTGTTCACATTCATGAGTCGACTCATTTCTAATAGCTAGAATTTTTTTTAAATACCACCAAATACAAATTCGCATCTCAGAAGATTAAAGTTGAATTTGACATAATTTAAAGTCACCTTGACCCATGAAAGGAAATAATGAAGTTTAGCCAGAACTTCTAACACAGCAGCACAGTGTTGTTACAAGTTTTTATTTCTCTCTGTCCCTAAAGCAGACAAGTCTGATTATCCTATCAGCATCATTATCAGTACCTGACAGTCGCTGTTTCTCACAGCTGGTATCCACTCCCGTCTCCTGTGCTCCTCTGCAGTAGCACGCACTAAAATTCAACCCTAAACCAGTCCTCCCAACATGATCACTTACAAGCCCGAACGCACTTGAGTTGTGTTTCCTTAGCAAACACATAGAACTATACCATGGATGAATATTAATGCATCGGGTGTCTGAGTTGAGACGCATTCTCATCTGTTGCACGGCTGGCTGGCCGGCTGACCAACGCTCTCTCTCTCTCTCTCTCTCTTCCAGGCCCTGTTCTGGGCCCGTTGGACCCATGGGCCCCGGGTTTCCTGCACCAGTTCCACCAACGCTCCCTATGTCAGTGTCTCTATCCTTACTCTTGCCATTCTTTTTTTCTTTTGACATTTTACTTTAAATTTTATCTATCAAGAACGCAATCAGATTTTGTTGTTTTTAGAAGTGCTTTCTTGAGATGAGTAGGACTGTGGTAAGCAATTGTAACATTTAACTAGATATTAATGCCAGGTGGCTAAGTTTTAGTTTTGTTGTGTATACGCTTTGCCCTTTAAGGCTACTATTGGATTAGACATTATCAGATTATCCAACCATGTAAGAGCTTTCAATATAAGCCGGCCTACCGCGGGCCTCTCTCCTGTAAGGGGCATGAGCCCAGCAGTCGTCTCCCATTGTCTCCACGCTATGCACTCAAGAGCTAATTTCTAACAAACACTCACCATGTCCAGCCAAACGAGCCACATCATGAGTCAAATGTAAGATATGTTGTGGGGCTCCTGCACCTTCTGCCAATCTACCATCAACTGAGAAGCGCTGCCGTGTGGACCTTTTCACGTATGTCTCCACTGACTCTTCCCGGTGGCAGAGACGTTCCCGTTCCCGCTCTAGTTTTTTTGGTTCTGGGGTGGAGTTGGGGAAGGAATCAAACATTGTTCCTCCTAGGAAATGACATCACTTGATTATTTTAAAACACCCAAATCAGTTTGGTAACAGCTCAACCATTCACAAACTTATTTGCCAAGTTGATGCCTCTGAGCGGAGTTCAGGTGTGCAAAACTTGCACCGGGGACACGCTCAGCCATGTTAAGCCACTGATCAACCAGGGTTGCAACATGATCACAGTTTATGATTCCTACTGAAAAATCTGAAACTTTTCTACAAGCACAAAACACCCACGACTCTCAAGTGTTGTTCTGAAATCTGACTACATGTGTTAGTGAGCACTTTTCCCTTACCAAGATAATCCATCCCACCTCACAGCTGTGGCGTTTCAAGGGGCTGATTAGACAGCACGAATAATGTAGAATGTAGAAAAAGTTTCAGATGTTTGAGTTCCGCTCATGAAAAATGGGAGCAAAAACAAAAGTGTTGCATTTGAATTTTTGTTTTGTGTATAAATCACACAAACACATTCTACAAAGGGTGTGAACCGCAAAAGTTATCAATTTCTGTTTTTCAAAGACACTGCTTCCATATTCCATCCATTCATTTTCAGCTGCCTATCCAGAGTCAGGTTGAAGGGGAAGCAAGGTGAGAGGCCCAGACTTCCCTCGCCCCAACCAATCGGGTCAGCTCCTCCGGGGTAATCCCAAGGCGTTCCCTGCCCAGCTGAAAGACATTGTCCCTCCACCGTGTCCTGGGTCTTCCTTTGGGTCTCTTCCCAGTTGGACGTGCCCGGAAAACCTCACCAGGGAGGCGTTCAAGAGACACCCTAAATAGATGCCCGAGCCACCTCAACTGGCTCCTCTCAACGGGGAGGAGCAGCAGGTCTACTCCGAGCCCCTCCCAGATGACCGAGCTTCTCACCCAATCTCTAAGGGAGAGCCCAGCCACCCTGGGCAAATCTCATTCCATAATCTCATTCTGTCATTCGCTACCCAAAGCTCGTGACCATAGGTGAGGGTAGGAACGTAGATTGACCAGTAAATCGAGAGCTTTGTCTTCCGGCTCAGCTCTCTCTTCACCCCAACAGATCAGTACAACACCTGCATCACTGCAGACACAGCACCAATCCGCCTACCATTTTCCCCCAAGATACTCAAACTCCTCCACATGGGGCAGGACCTCGTCCCTGACCTGGGGCTTCATGTATCAAACACTCGTAGAAAATATTCTAAATTCCTTCCTATGAACGAAATTTAGAATGTTTGTACCAACAGTCAAAATCCTGATTTATGAAACAAGCGGTGGCCTCTCGTACGCACATGTGTGTATACCCAGGTGCTCGTGTCCGTACTCAGTCATTTACATACATAAACGCCCTCAGTTAACCATATTTGGTCACGCCACGTCCTCAGCAAGTGAGAGGATTCCCTGTGTTCTACTCAGAAAAAAAGAAAACTTGCAAGATCGAGACAGTTTCTGCCGAAGTGCAGAAGAACCAAACAAGTTGCAGAGGTTACAAATGCGGTCGTGAGGAGAGGTTCCTGTGAGGAATAAATAATTAATGTGATAAATTGGTAACACTTTACAATAAGGTACGCAAAACTGTGCTTTGTTACTTGGGGACGACTTAGGGGGCAATGAGTAATGAAGCGGGGAAGAATAGGTAGTTAACGAGTAGTTACTGGTGAAAACGCTCATCAGTCTCTTGTCAGGGACTAATAAAGCGATAAGGAACAAATCCCAGATAAATGCAGTGCCTGTGGACTCTCTTTTGTAAACTTCATGAAGGATGCAGGTAATTTGCAACATCACTGTTTCATCTTGATTTCACCCGTCTGTCACTTCGTCGTCCTTTGTCAGCATCCGTCCATCTCGAGATGATGGAAAGTGAAGCCTCCTCCCAAGTACCTACTGAGGAACAAATAGGTACTTCCTCAATACTTAAGCATTACTTTTATGTTGTTACATGGCCATTTACCATAAAAACATTGAACTTTTTCACACATCATTTTCTTTCATCTCGTGTGTGGCAATATTCCAGAGATGAGTGACCAAAATCTTGCAGGTTAAATGGTAAATGGCCTGTATTTGATATAGCGCCTTCTAGAGTCCTGGAACCCCCTCAAGGCGCTTTACAACACAATCAGTCATTCACCCATTCACACACACACATTCACACACTGGTGGGGATGAGCTACGATGTAGCCACAGCTGCCCTGGGGCACGTTGACAGAGGCGAGGCTGCCGAGCACTGGCGCCACCGGTCCCTCCGACCACCACCAGCAGGCAACGTGGGTTAAGTGTCTTGCCCAAGGACGCAATGACAGCGACAAACTGAGCGGGGCTCGAACCCTCAACCTTCCGATTACGGGGCGAGCACTTAACTCCTGTGCCACCGTCGCCCCAGTGTTACAGTGTTACCCGGCTCAAATCAATCAATTCAATTCAATTCAATTCAATTCAGTTTTATTTATATAGCGCCAAATCACGACAAGAGTCATCTCAACGCACTTCACATAATAGACATTCCAATTCAGGTCAGTTCATTAAGCCAATCAGTAAGAAGTTTCCTATATGAGGAACCCAGCAAATTGCATCAAGTCACTGACTAGTGTCAGAGTCTTTACAGCAATCCTCATACTAAGCAAGCATATAGCGACAGTGGAGAGGAAAACTTCCTTTTAACAGGAAGAAATCTCCAGAGGATCCTGGCTCAGTATAAGCAGCCATCCACCATGGGTACCGAATTCGGTACATTTTAAGGTACTGACCGAATTCCACAGTACCGACTGAGCACCGATTCACGTAATTTGAAACGGTCCCTCGTTTCGGTACCCATTCTTCATAACGAGAACTTGCCTAGTCAGCTGCGCATGTGCATGAGCGTTATGTCTTCTGTCGCTGCGAGCGAGTTGTAAACAGAGCAGCATGGTAGAAAGAACGCACGCTAAAGCTTGGGTCCACTTCACTAAATGTGATGGGTAACTGGGTGATGATGAAACCAGCGACAACGATCTAAGTAAGACATCCTCATCTTAATCTGCTCCGGTAGGTAAATAAAATGTTTAAGATAACGTTAGCTTGATTTGTTAGCTTCCGTTCCGCTAATGGTGCGTTCGCTTTCTCCTCGGAACTCCGAATATCTGGCTAGAAGAACATGAA